CAATAGGGACACCCCACCTCGGGCAAAGCCTGTGGGCCTGAGTCGCAGACACGGCCACAGGCACTGACCTTCCCCTGTCTGCTTGTTCGGGGGCTGGTGTGGTGGCCGCCTTCCAGCCCGGGCCCAGCAACTCCAGTCCTGGACTGGCCAACCCTGCTGCTGACTAATGAATGGGAAAGAGCTACCATCCCCTCACATTCAGGTCCTCCCCTGAACCTGTTGTCATGTCCCATGGAGAGCGGGAAGCTAGGGGGACCCCTGTGGGCTGCTGTGGGTCCCCTGAAGCACTGGGTGGGGGCTCTGAGCCCGGGGGGCCATTTTTTTTTTTGTTCTTTGGGTCACACCCGGCGATGCTCAGGGATTTCTCCTGGCTCTGCACTCAGGAATTACTCCTGGCGGTGCTTGGGGGATCAGATGGGATGCGGGGATCGAACCTGGGTCTGCCACCTGCAAGGCAAACGCCCTTTCTGCTGAGCTATACCTCCTGCCCTCTGCTCCTGTGTTCTGCAGCCACTTCTGGGCCTTAGGCAATAGGCTTTAGGGCCCACATTTGCCATGTGGCTTGAGAGCATTGTGGGGCCCAGACACCAGTCAGGAGGCAGAGGAGACAGCTCGGACCCAGCCCCGGCTGGCCCTGGAGGCCTGGAGCCTGGCCCTGTTGCTCCGTGCGTCCCTCTTGCACTAATCAGTCAAGCCCATACTGCTCACAGGTTGAGTGCCTGGGGGGTACCCGCGCCTGAGGAGCACCCACCTTTTGGGGGGGGCCACGACAGAGTCTGGGAAGGGGCTCTCCCTGGTCTGCTGCTCATCCCAGCCCCGACCCAGCCCTCAGGCAAATCTAAGCAGCCTCCAAGGTTAAAGGCAACTCGGGCTTGGGCCACCAGCACTGCTTCCTGTCCGTCTGCAGGACCCTGCGGAGGGCGGCCAGGCGGGGGCTGTGCCCTGAGCGCCCTCCTCCCCCCACCCCACGCTCCCTGCAGCACCCTGAGTGGGTTCTGCTCTCCCCCAGGGTTCTGGGCCCACGCAGGAGCCCAGGGCCTCTCCTGTGAGCTGCCAGTGCCCAGTTCCAGCCCGCAAGGCCCTGGTACCACCTGCGGACCTACTGGACCGAGTGGCAGGGCGTGCCTCTCCCAGTGCCACCGAGACCCATGACAACAGCCAGCCTGGCCTGGACCCCTCCTCTCCCCGCCCATGCGGACGGCAGGCAACAGCCCTGGTTGGCCAGCAGGGGGCGTGTCCTGGTGCGGATGAACTCCCCAGCCCTTTGGACACAGGTAAGGGCAGCCCAGGGGGTGGGGCAGCTTGCAGAGACCCCTCCGTTGCACCCCTGGGCCAGGTCTGGGGCTCCCAGGGTCTCTGCTGGCCAGCACACCCGCCCAGGGGTACCCGGCCATCTGGGGACAGCTTTACGGTCACGGCACAGCCCAGCCTCCTGCCCAGACGGGAGTGACTTCCTCAGCTTTTTGTTTTTGGGCCACACCCTGCAGTGCTCAGGGATCGCTCCCAGTGGGCTCAGGGGTGCCGAGGATCGAACAAAATAAATAAATAAATAAATAAAAAATTTATTTCGATCAGCTGCAGGCGAGGCATGTGCCCTCCCATTGCACTAAGGCCAGAAAGTGGAGTTAAGAATTTCTTCCAGGGGGACTGGAGCGATAGCACAGAGGGTAGGGTATTTGTCTCGCATGTGGCCGACCCGGGTTCAAATCCTAGCATCCCATATGGTCCCCCAAGCACCGCCAGTAATTCCTGAGTGCAAAGCCAGGAGTGACCTCTGAGCATTGCCGGGTGTGACCCAAAAAGAAAAAAAAAAAAGAATTTCTTCCAGGGCTGGAGCAATAGCGCAGCAGGGAGGACGTTTGCCTTGCACGCGGCCAACCCGGGTTGGATCCCCAGCATCCCATTACCTGAGTGCATGAGCCAGGAGTAACTCCTGAGCATTGCTGGGTATGACCCAAAAAGCAAAAAATAAATAAAATAAAAAATAATTTCTTCGCTCTCCCCTAAAGGAGAACCCGAGATCTGGGGTGAGGCGGGGTAGGGCGTGCTGGCCCCATCCAGTGGGCCTGGGGAAGGGGGGGCCACATGCTGGGCCCACCCAGCTCCCAGATAGATCTCCTGGGCAGCGACATGAAGAGGCCACTTGCACGGGCCATGAGGGATGCTCAGCACCCGCGTGGCCCCGGCTCCAACATGGCCCCGGCTCCGACGTGGCCCCCAGCTCTGTTCCAGGTGGAGGCAGCCGGAAGGGTGGGAGCTCAGCTGGCCATGAGGACCCAGGATTGATCCCTGAGCACTGCTGGGCACGGCCCCCAACCAACCCGGCCTGTTTCAGGCACCGGGAGTGAAGATGGCCAGGAGGGGGATGTTTAGGGGAGCGGGGGAGCTGGCTGGCCTGCAGGACCCCCCAATCACACATGCGGCAGTGCCGGGCCTGGGTTCTCGGGGGGCCTCTGAGTCACACACTCCGCCAGCCCAGCAGGGTCCCCTCAGCTAAGGGAGCAGGAGGCTCAAGGAAAGAGCCTGGAGATGCCGAGATTGGCCACCAGGGGGCTCCCTTCCCTCCCAGCAGCAGGCCCGGGCAGCCCTACCCAGTGACCAGCAGGGCCTCACCGCCCGGTGCCCAGCAGAGTGGCACAGGCTGGGGTGGGTGAGGAGATGGCCCATGCCCTGCACCCTCCCTTTGGCCACCTTCTCTGCTTGGTCTGGGCACCCCCTGAACTGAGTCCCATAGGAGCAAGAGTAACAGCAGCCGTGCTGCCCAGCCACCTGCGGGTGCCCTTCCGGTGGTTCCCACTGGCGCGGGGGAACACCGGGCACAGAGAGAGATGTCCTGGGCTCAGAGTCAGGAGGCCCCGGGCAAGCGGGGAGTGGGGAGCTCTGGCCCCTCGGGGTTCCGCCTGGCACTGGCTGCTTCCTCAGCGTCCCTGGACCTCTGTGACAGGGAGGGACTTCCTCCCCTCTGCCTGCAGTGGCCAGCGGGCAGCCACGGGCCCTGCCACCCACAGGACCGGAAAGAGCCCCAAGCCGGCGAAGGCCCGGCTGATAGGCTGCAGCTGGGGTCTATTAGGTGGGAGGGAGGACGAGATCGCCTTTTCTGGGGTCTCCTGCTGCAGACCCCCTTGATGGGCAGCGCCAGGCTGGAGCAGGAAGCAGGGCAACTGGTCAGGACCTGGTGAAGGGGGCCGCCCCCACCCGGCCGAGAGCCCCTCAGCCCTCGCTCAGCCCTGCCCCCAGCTTCGTCCCCAGGGACAGGCCTAGGACGGGGTCTGCATACACAGCAGGGCAGGGGTCAGCCTGGTCAGCTCGGGCAGCGGCGCCCGTGGCAGGCCTGGCGGGGCGGAGTCTGCAGCCGGGCAGTTCCAGAGACAGGAAGGGACCTGAGTCCTTTCCAAGGGGCCGGGGGCCCCCCAACCCCTACAGGCCCTTCCAGAGCCCTCCCCTTCTGTAGGGGAGGGGTCAGTGGACTCAGAAACCCCTGGTCTGGTGACCCTGTTGGGCCACCCTGGCCCCTCCCTCATTTCCTCTGCAAGTTCAGCTGGGCGGGGCTTTGGGGATTTCCTGGAGGTCCTGGACACTGACAGCCTCGAGCACCCATCCCTGGCCCCAGGCCTTTGAGAAGGGGCACCAGGGATGGGTCAGGGCCCCCAGAAGTGGTGCAGCAGCAGCTGAGACCCCCAAGTAGGCCGATGCAGCCTGAGTCCTCCTGAGACTGGCCAACATGGGGGCGAGCAGTGCACCATGAAGAGAATGATCACTGTCACTGTCCTCCCGTTATTCATTGATTTGCTCGAGCGGGCCCAGTAACGCCTTCATTGTGAGACTTGTTGTTACTGTGTTTGGCATATCTGATACGTCATGGGAAGCTTGCCAGGCTTTGCCGTGCGGGCGAGATACTCTTGGTAGCTTGCCAGGCTCTCCTAGAGGGGCCGAAGAATCGACCCTGGGTCGGCCGGCCGGGTCGGCCGCGTGCAAGGCAAATGCCCTACCCGCTGTGCTATCGCTCCAGCAGAACAGGGACAATAAAACACACCCCGTGACTGTGTGGACACCACAGCCACCCATGCTCAGCTGTGTCCCCGGCCCCTCCCCCGCCCACGCTTTCTGCTGAGGCAGCCAAGACCAGGCCCAGGCCCACCCCCACACACGCGGGCAGTAGAGCCAGGCCCTCCCCCACACGTGGGCAGCGGCCAGCGGCCCACCCCTCCGAGCAAGGCTGGCAGACAGCCTGGGCGTGGGTGAGCGCACCTCAAAGACAGGCCCTGCTTGGGTCAGCTTTGTGGTTTTACTTTATTGCTTTTGGATGACGACTCATCTCCAAACTCATGTTTTTCCAAACCTCGTTCTCAGCCTACGAGAATGGCGGGGTCCCTCCCGGCCTATGGCGGGGTCTGCCCCCCAGCACGAGGTCATCGCCTTTCACCCTGAAGGGGCACATCCCGCACCATGAGAACGGATGGTGCTAGAACCAACTCTGTGGGCAGCTGAAGCCCTGCCGGGTGCAGGCGGACACAGTGAGGACGCAGCCCGGGTCTGACCTGATGCCTCTCTTCACGGGCACCACGCCCAGGTGGTGGTAGCCCCAGTACCCCCGTACTGCCCAGCACCGCCCAGCGTCTCCCTCTGTCCAGCACTGCCCAACGTCCCCCCGTACTTTCCAGGACTACCCAGCATCACCCTGTGCTGTCCAGCACTGCAGAGTCCCCCCTACTGTCCAGCACTGCCCAGCATCCCCCCTGTGCTGTCTAGCACTGCCCAGTCTTCCCTGCACTGGCCAGCATTACACGGTGCCCAGCGCCCGTCTTCCCCAGCCCGGGGCAAAGTCCTGCAGTGCCTGGCTGGGCCCCATCACGGCAAACAGGCTCCTCCCTCTCGGAGGCTGGTGCTCCCCACCAGGGGCTTCCTGGGAGGGTGCTGAGGCGGCCACCTCACTGCCACCCCCACGCCGGCACTGAGGCTGGGGAGAACGCAGGTCCCCAGGAGAACCAGGCCTCGGCGCAGTTGGCGGGTGGGTCACGGGGCCGCGGACTCCCTGGTGGTGCCCTGCTGGGGGCGCCTGTTGAGCAGCTCGAACGTGTCCTCCACCACCTGCCACAGGCAGCTGTCCAGCGGAAAGTCGTTGTCCACGAGGTTGACCAGGAAGTAGTTGTCGTGGATGTGCTGGATGACCCCTCGGGACGGGGAGCCCTCCTCATACAGCTTCCCCCACTGCTCTGTCCACAGCGCGAAGGCCTCGTCCTGTACGGGGCGGGCATGAGTGCAGAGGCACACACACACACACACACACACACACACACACACACACACACACACAGACACGCAGACACAACGCACAGAAAGGGAAATACAGACACGCACAGAGACAATCACAGACACACACAAAGACAGACTCAAGACACACACGGAGACAGACACATAAACAGGCATACACAGACACACGCACAGAGACAGACACACAGAGACAGACAAACTCACGGACACATACACAGACAGACACACACAGAAACAGACAGACGCAGATACACACAGAGGCACAGACAGATACAGACACACAGAGAGACACAGAGAGACACACACAGAGACTCACACACACACACAGTCTCACAGACACACACAAAGAGACACATACAGATGCACAGAGGCACACAGGGATAAACAGACATGGGCACAGACAGACACACAGACAGCGTGACCGGGGCCTCCTGGGCAGGCTCATGAGCAGGGCCGCCCACCAGTCATTTCCCAGGATAACCCGGCCCAGCCGGTGCCACCCAGCCCAGGAGCGCGAGCCGTACCTTCCAGTACATGAAGCTGACGGGGTCCACCACCGTGGGCTGGATGACCTCCCGGCCCGGGAAGATGCCCCAGGTGACGGCATTCGGCTGCAGGCCGGGGGCGTTGGTGATGTTCTCTCCCTGGGGAGGGGGAGCTGGTTAGTATGGGGGGACGGCTGCACCCCCAGCTGGCTTCGGGTCAGCCAGTGCTGCCCCTCTCTGCTCCCGTCTCTTCTCTCCTGTCTGCCCCGTGCACAGCCCACCAGGCCTCTGTCCGCTCCCACCCCTCAGGGGCCTGTGATGCCAGCTCCTCACCCACCAGCCCCCGACCCACCAGCCCCCCATCCGCCAGCCCCTTCCGCACAAGCCCCTCTTATCTGCACGCCGTGACCTGTCTACACTGGCCAGCTCTGCTGCTGGGTGCCTTTGGCCAAGCTGACCCAGGGGTCTTCCCACAGACCAGATCCTGATGCCCTGGCCTGCGCCTCCATGCCCAACCGAAACCCCCAAGGAGTGTCCCCCGGATCGCCGCCTCCCGAGCTGAGCGTCACACAGCAGGGGACCCTGAGGGCCGGCCCTCCTGGACTGTCCCCAACGGACCTGAAGCTGGCTGCTGTCTCCCCCCCATCAGTGCCTGGCCGGTATGTGGGCCCCCGCGGGCCCTTCGCGCACGGCCTGGACCCCGGCTGGGCGTCCTGAATGCACCTTCACGTCCACGATGTGGTAGTTGACCCGAAGCTCGTACTTCTTCAGCACCTGCAGCAGCGCCTGCACCGTCTCACGGGACGTGAAGAACTCCAGGTAGGCCTGTGGGGGGGGGCACCGCTTGCCACCAGCCCATGCCCGCCCCCCCGGCCCTGTGACAGGCCACTCACACCTGAGCAGGCGAATGCCCCAGTCTGGACAGGCCTGGGGAACGCCGGTCACCCTCCTCCCCGTACGGGGGCGGCTCCCTGGGCGCCCCTTTGTCCTGCCCCTGACAGCGCCCTGGAGGGTCAGTACCAGCTCGCAGGACCGCGGGGGAACCTCACGGTCTCATAGCTAAGATGGGGCTTTTATTTTTTTCTTTTTGGGTCATACCCGGCCATGTGCAGGGGGTTACTCCTGGCTCATGCACTCAGGAATTACTCCTGGCAGTGCCGGGGGGACCATATGGGATGCGGGGAATCAAACTCGGGTCGTCCACGTGCAAGGCAAACGCCCTCCCTGCCTGCGTGCTCTCGCTCCAGACCCCTAAGGCAGCATTTGTCCAGAAAAGCCAAGCCCGGGGGGATCCACATGTCCCAGCGGGAACTTCGAGGCTCAGCGACGCCAGGCACTCGGGTCTCCACCCCGCCCCCCCGCCCCGGGCTCACCCCATCCTCGGAAAGGTGCTCCTCCCGGGCAGCCACCCACCTTCTGGAAGACGTAGCCGCCGCTGGGGCCCCAGCCCACCACGGGGTCGGAGGACGGGCGGCCGTTGACGGGGGGTTGGGAGTTGATGGTGAGCAGGCCCCGGCGGTTCACGCGCAGCAGCTGCTCCTTCAGCAGGTCCGTCTCGGGCGCCAACGGCTCGTCATTCCACGGCAGACACGTCACCTGGGGGCGGCCCGGCTGGGGCATGCGGCCGGTGTCGGCCCACCCGCACCGGCCCCCCCCCACCCGGGGACCCCCGCCCCCGCGCTCACCTGGTGGCCCTGCGGGTTGGGCTCCCCAGACAGGTAGTGGGCGAAGACCTGGAAGACGCTGTGCTCCCCCGCCAGCTCCTCGCCCCACATCTGCCGCAGCTCCTCCCGGGAGCACCTGCTCTGCAGGTAGAAGAGGTAGTAGTCCCGCAGCTCGCCGAAGGCTGGCGAGGAGGAGTGGCCCCTGGCGGGGTGGGGGAGGGGTGGTCAGAGAAGCTGCTGGAGCTGGTCCCCCAGCCCAACCCGCGGCCACCCCCCGCCTCACCAGCGGCCGTTGGGGAACTCGTCCCAGTCCTGGGTGCGGTAGATGTAGCTCTTGGGTCTGGAGGCCCAGAAGATGGGCCGGACGTCCTCCTCGCGCCGCTTGGGGTGGGCGCTCACGGCCCAGGGCAGGGGCCGCCTGGGGGACGACGGCAGGGGACAGCCCTGAGCCGCGAGACCCAGCGCTGCCCTGCCCGGGCCCGGCCCTGGCCTCGGGGGGGAATCCCCGGCCTCACCTGGGGTCCTCGTTCCACAGGCCCAGGCGCCGGAGCACCTCGATGGTGGCCACCTCGCGGTTGAGGGTGTAGAAGTGCAGGCCGGGCGCCAGGCCGCTGGCCAGCAGCTCCCGGCACAGGCTGGTGGCCTGCTCGATGCCGTAGTTGCGGATGGCGTCGTCGTTGTCCTTGATGGGCTCGATCACGTCGCGGATCTGCTGCGGCACCTCCAGCCGGGACAGCTTGACCAGCTGCCGCAGCGAGTGGTAGCCCTGCGGGACAGGAGGGGCTTGGCGCCTGGGACCCTCCCAGACCCTCCCCCCACCAGGGCTGCCCGCTGACGCAGCCCACGTGGCGCTCTCTGTTGTCGAACCCGGGGTGCCGGCGACGAGCATCGTTGAGCGAGTGTGGGTGAAGGAGGGACACACGTGTGCTGGGCTTGCCCAGGTCAGTGCCTCTGAGGACAGTGCAGGACACTGAGACCAGGGGTGTGTGTGTCTGTGGGGTACTCCGACCCCCACAGAGGGCATGTGCCGAGTGCCTGGGAGGTGCCTGGGGGCCATGGGGGCTGAAGCGTGGCCGCCCCGACAAGGACAGTGGTGGTTTGGGGTGGGGTGAGAGGTCATCGGAACTGGGTGGCTCTCGGGCAGGTCACTCGGCGCCCTCCCCCCAAGCCTGGCCTGGGCAAGCGCGGAGGGCGCAGTGCCCCCGGCCCACCTGGATGGGGAAGATGCCGGGGAGGATGGGGCAGGTGATGCCCAGTGCCCTGCAGGCCGCCACGAAGCGGAAGAAGGTGTCGGCCTCGAAGAAAAGCTGCGTGATGACGAAGTCGGCCCCCGCGGCCACCTTCTCCTTCAGGTGCTGCAGGTCGGCCTCCAGGCTCCCGGCGTCGGGGTGCCCTTTGGGGTAACCTGGGGGTGGCAGGGAGAGGCTGGCTCCACGTCCCAGGGCACCCGTGGGGGAGGACCAGGGCAGGGCCAGGGCACTCGGCCTTCCGGGCCACAGCGAGGATTTGAGTCCCCCACTCCCCACGCTCCTCTGCGGGTCCCCCAGAAGGGTCAGCACGGGGGCTGGAGCCATCGCACAGTGGGGAGGGCGCTTTCCTTCCACACGGCCGACCCGGGTTCGACCCCCGGCATCTCACCTGGTCCCTCGACCCCCCACCCAGGAGTGAGCCCTGAGCACTGCCAGGTGTGGCCCAAAGACAAAAAAATTCTAGCTACTCTCAGAATTCCTCAGGGGTTTAGGGGGACTTAGAAAGCAGAATAGCTGCAGAAAAGGGGGGTTCCTGGGAGAGCAAAGACTAAAAAGGTGCCAAGGCCCCGATGTGGGTCTCAGCAGGGCAAAGGATCTCAGGGGCACCCCAATCTCAGACCTAGCATCCCTATGCGGGGGCCGCAGACCACCCCATTTCCAGCAGGTGGACCTTGCCCCCAGCCATAGCTTTTTTTTTTTTCCTTTTTAGGTCACACCTGGTGATGCTCAGGGGTTATTCCTGGCTCTGCACTCAGGACACTCAGGAATCACTCCTGGTGGTGCTAGAGGGACCCTATGGGATGCCGGGAATTGAACCCGGGTCCGCTGTCCTATTGCTCCGGCCCTGCAGGCGCTGGAGTCGAGCCCGTGAAGTCTCTCTCCTGAAAACTTGCAATGTCCACTGGCTACAGGCCGGCATGGACCACGACCCCGCGGGTCTGAGAGAGGACCTCATCCATCCGGCCTCCTAGATAAAGCGGGGGAGGGGGGAGAAGGGGGGATGCAGAGCAGAGGGGGGCCCGGATCAGGCTCTGACCAAGGGCCTCCGTGGGAGGGCCCAGGCTGTCCAGCTGTTCCCTGGCCTCCCGAGCTGGATAAGTCTCTCTCTCCCTTTGGTTTTAAGGCGTGAAAGGGCTGGGAACCAGCAGGAGGAGTCAGAGGAAGCAGAAGGAGCAGCATGTGGCTCCCAGCGGTGAGGCCGGGCTCCAGGCCCCTGGGGGCCTGGCATCATGGAAAAATACTAGGAGACAAAAGTGGAAGTGGCACTGGGGCTGGGGGTGTCGGAGGGCAGGGCGGGGTGGGCACTCTGCGTCCATCCCATCCATCCTCTGGTGCAGGCGCAGGCTGGGTTCAGGGTACAGCAAGGGGGCCCTGCGGGAGGTTGGTCTCTCTCTCACCCCGTGCCCCCCACACCCGCTGCGGGGCCCCTGACAGTCACCTGCTACACAGACGTCAAAGTAGTCTCCGAACTCGCTCCGGATGTGCTTCACCAGGTCCACGGCGTAGTTGAAGCCGCCGGCCTCCTCTTCCCACTGGTCACCGATGGGGTCTGCGGGGCGGGGGGTGGCGGGGCACATCACCTCCAGGAGGCCTCAGGGATCCATCCCTGACACCCCCCCCAGGGGACCAGGTGCCCCCCCATCCTGCAAGGCAGTACCTCAGCTGCAGGCTCAGTCCCTGAACACCCAGCAAACAGCCCGGCCGGGCTGGCCGGCGCGTCCTGAGCCCCGTGGCAGCAAGCGGGGGGGTACAAAGATGCCTGGAATACCAGGATCCCCCCACTCAAACCCAGAGGGCTTCGGGCTCCATCACCCAGCCCCGCCCAGTTCTCCAACCGCTTCCTCCCTCCTGGAGCACCCGCCTCCTGGGAGATGGTGCTGGGATGTCAGGCTAGACACGGGGCTGGAGACCTCAGTGGGCTGTGCGGATGCCCGGGCCCCACCCCCGGCACCTCGGGGTCCCCTCCCCCAGCTCAGAGCTGCCCCCGAGCACCATGGGGTGCAGCCCTGAAGGGCAACAAGAGAATAAAAACAAGAACCAAGCCCAAGCGTCAGGCGCAGGGTGACGGCTCCCCTTTCCCACACTTGGGCGGGTGAGAGTTGCTGCCCGTGGCCAGAGACGCCAGCCCGTTTCTGTGCCCTGACCAATGCCAGGGGGTGCTGTCCCAAGGGGGGCGTGGCCAAGGAGCCAGGGCGGAAGGCTGCGGGGCCATGGCAGGAGTAAGGGGGTGGGGGGATGGGGACAACATGTGGTCAAGGGGGCAGTGCCCTGAACCTCTGGGGATGCTGGTGGGTGGGGGGGGCGAGTTCGGAGATAGGGCAAGGCCAGCCCCAGGGACAGAGGAGCGGGAGAAAGCAGGACAGGGGGAAGTTCGGATCCGAGCGGCAGCACAGGCTTTGCACACGATGGACCCGGGTTCGATCCCCGGCACCCCCTAGGGTCCCTTGGGCTCCGCCAGGCATGGCCCCAAACTGAAGCAAGCTGGTGGGAGCCCCCAGGGGCAGGGGCCGGCGCCCACCTCCGCGCAGCGCCAGGATGTTCTTTAGGCCCAGTCGCCGAGCCTTGCTCAGGTGGCCCGTGAGCTGCTCCCGGCTCTGGCGACAGCAGGTCATGTGCAGGACGGTCTCCAGGCCACAGTAGTTGACGGCGGCGCTGGCGATGGCCATGGAGGCCGTGTCCTTGTCGGAGCCAGGGTCCCCTGCAGGGTGCCAGGTCACATCTATGAAGAGGGGGCCGCCGGCCCCCATCCGGTCAAACCTGGAGGGAATTTCTTTCTGAAAGGGGCTCTTGGGACCCGGCGCCTGTCCCCACCTTCCCAGGGGGGTGTGTCCAGAGGCTACAGAGGCCTCCTGGGGGGTGTCACGGAGGGGGGGTGAAGCACAGCGTCCCCCACTATGAAAGGCGCAGAGTGAGGGACAGTGAGGGGCACCCTGCGCCCGGCTCCAACTCTGGGCGATGCTCACGCTGTTGTTACAGGCCAAGTCCGCGTGGCCTTGGGGATCTCTGCAAGGCGCGGGCGTGGCTACTCTCCCATGTCAGGGGCCCGGGGTTCCAGGGCGCCTCGGGGGTGCGAGTGAGGTTTGCGCTAAGGGAGAGAGAGGGCCAGCAGGCACGAGTTCCAGGGTGCACCCCAAGACCCGGAGCCCCTGAGGTGCACAGCGGTTGTGCTGCAGCGCGGACATCCTCGGTCACTGCTGGGAGGGCCCGAGCCACAGCCGCACCGGCGGTGACGCGCTCCCCCACTCACTCGGGGGCACCCCAACAGGCTCCGGCAGCCGCAGCCGGATTTCAAGGGGCATTCTCGGCATTCCTCGCTTGCTGAGAATGTTCTCCACGCCGGGTGACCCGGAGATCACACACGGCCCCATAGGCCGCCAAATCCTGCTGCCTGGGCCTCCTGCTGGCCCTTCCGGAGTGGGGCGAGCATATGGGGGGGGGTGGTGAGGCTGGTCCAGGGGCCTTGGGCTTTGGGCCTTCCCACCCCCTCGGGAGCCTCCTGCCGGGTCAAGGTGCAGCTGGGGCCCCTAATCCCCCTTCTCCTCCGTGACCTGGTCAGGACACAGCGGCTCACCTGGAGATGAGGTTTGCGGCGCCCTGGGAGGTCCGGGGCGGGAAGAACTCCAGGGAGAACCACTTGTCACCGGACTCCAGCAGCCGCCCCATCTTCTCCCGCAGTCGCTCGTGCCTCTCGGGCTCAGGCCCCGGGATGGAGCTTCTGGAACCCTCCTTGGAACGTTCCGTGCCGCTGCCTTCTACGTGCGGGCTGGGGTCCTTCACCATGGTCGGGGGCCTGCTGCGTGGGGTGCAGGCGGGGGCGTCAGCAGGCAGGAGGTCCCACCCGAGGTGGTTGGGTTGGGGGAGAGGGGGAGAGGGATAACGCATCCCCCAGCCCGTGACCCCTGGGTCACCGCTCGGGCAGTCACAAGTCAGCCTCGCGTCCTCCCCGGGGGACTGCTAACCTGATGGTCGGTGGCACTGAGAACGTCCCGCTGCCGGCCCCCAAGGCCCGCATGCTAAGTGGGAGGCCGCCGGGGCCGGCCTGGAGGACCTGGGGTTTGGGATGGTCCGTCTCCAGCGGCTCGGTCTCAGAGTGGGTGGGGAAGAAGTAAGAGGAACCGAAAGGGCGGAGCTGTGACAAAGGAAGCGCCCAGAGCCAAGCGGGCCGCCCGGGGCGGGGGCTGGGCTTCCAGCCGGGGGCGGGCGGAGGCCTGATAGAGACCCGGGAAGGAGGGGCGGCCAGACGCGGGGGTTTCTCAGGCCTGCAGACATTCAGGGTCAGCGGGTTCACGAGCTCAGGGCGGACCTGGCATATCTCCTGTGCTTGGGGACACACTGTGTGTGTGTGTGTGAGTGTGCGTGTGCGTGTGTGTGCATGTGTGTATATGCGTCTGTGTGTATGTGTGTGTGCGCGCACTGAATGGGAGCAGCACGTCCCCCTCACGCACTCCACCTACTCCCAAAAGATGGGGTGCGGGTGGGGGTCAGGGCTTGATGTTGGACGGGCTCCACCAGCAGCTCGCCCGCAGTTTAGAGAGTGCGACTGTCCAACTCAGGACAAAGGTGGTCAAGGCCCAGCGGCCCCCGTCTTTTTTTTATTTGGGAGGGGCATACTCGGAAGTGCTTAGGGCTTACTCCTGGCTCTGCACTCAGGGATCACTCCTGGCCAGGCTTTGGGGAGGGGGTTCATATGTGGTGCTGGGTATGCAAGGGAAGCACCCTACCACCCCTGACCCCCACCTCTTGCCCACTGATGATCTGTCCCTAAGCGCCAGACTCCTGAGAGGCTCCTGGAACCCCCTACTCCTCTTTTCCCAGACACGCAAGTAACCCGAGCCGGGACGACAGAGAACACTTGTGCCTGGGCCAACACCCGTCTTGATTCTGACCCAACTATCCGGTTTCTGGGGCCAGTGACAGCCACTCCGGCCCACCGGGTCTTTGGGGCACACTGTTTGGGGACACCGGTCTGGGTCCCACCTAGGACCCACGTGCCCTTTGCGTTGTTCCCCAAGACTTTCTGCGGGGCTCTGGGTCGGGCTGCCCAGCGCCTGGCTTCCAACTGGGGGTGCACGGCCGGTCTGCTTCCCTGGGTTCCCCCCAGGACCCTGAGGACCCCGAGGACCCTGAGTCGCGGTGGGCCCGGTCGTGCCAGTACCCCTCGGAGCTGGGCACAGGCTGATCGATAAGCGCCAGCGCGCTCTGATCGCGGTCACTGCACCCCCAGCCGTTTCCCGAGCGCTTGTCCGCGGCCAGTGCCCAGCTGGGGGGGGGGCGGGGTGGCCCGGGGGTCCCAGCGGCCTCGGGAACGTGCGGCCTGCGATCGGCGGGTCCCTGGGTCACCGGCGGGGACGAGGGGACGCTGGCCGGGGACGGTGGGTGGGGGCCGCGCGGCCACGCCCGACCCCCGCCGCCTTATCGCCGGGTCCCCGCGGTCCAGGCCGCGGGGGGCGGGGAAACGGGTCTTCGCCTCCAGGTTGGGGTGTGGGTGGCGAGGGCTGGACACTGCGCTGTCCGCCCCGGGTCCCCCGCACGGCGCGCGCCGAGGGGCCGGGGGGCGGGGGGTTCCCCCACGTGCGGGGCGGGGGGCGGCGCCCCCAGGCTCGGCCCTCACTCACCCTCGCGGCGGGGGCGAGCCTGGGCGCGCGCGGGTCAGCGGCGGCGGCGGCGGCGGCGGCGGCGCGCGCGCGCGGGGGTGGGGGTGGGGCGGGACGCCGAAGCGGTGTCCGGTTGCTAGGGGGAGGCGGGGCCGGGGGCGGGGCCGGGCGCGGCGGGCAGGAAGTCCCGCCCCCAAGATGGCGGCGCCCAGCGGGCGGGCGGGAAGCCGGGCGTCCGTCGTCGGGTGACGCGGGCCGTCGCCCCACCCGCCGGCAGCCACTCCCCGGCGGCGTCGCCGAGCTCGAGAGCGACACGTGACGCGGCCGGGGCCAGTCACGTGAGGCGGGCGTCCTGGGTGGGAGGGGGCGGCCCGCGGAGGGGGTCCGGCGCGGCGGCGGCGGCGGCGGCGGCGGAAGATGGCGGGGTGCCGGGGGTCCCTGTGCTGCTGCTGCTGCGGGGAGCGGGAGAGCCGCACCCCCGAGGAGCTGGTGAGCGCGGGGCGGCGGCGGCGGGGGCGGTTGCTAGGGGCCGCGGGAGGCGTCGCCGGGGGTGGGTGGGGCTCGGGGGCCGCGGGGCTTTCACGTGCCCGCAGCGGAGGTCCCGGGTTTTCTGGCTCGCGAGCCCACCCTGGGAGGTGGCAGGTGGCGGCCAGGCGCACCCAGATCCTCCCCCTCGTGACGCCCGGGAGGAGTTTGGGTGCAACAAGCGTGTTCCGAGAGACCCCGGCGTGCCCCGCATCATCGCATCGTCGGCTCCCGCGTCTCCAGCTGCAGCCCTGCCCCCGCGGCGCCCCCTCGCCCGTTCTGGGTCGCGGACCCTCCCGCTCCCCCCTGGCAAGGCACGCCGGGAGCTCGGACTTTTGACACTTCTCCCCTGATGTCCGATTTTTTTTTTTTTTTTGTGGTGGTTCCGTTTTTGCTTGGGGGGAGGCCACACCCGGCGACGATGCCCGGGGGTCGGGCCCGGCGCTGCACGCAGGAATTGCTTGGCTGCTCCTGGCTGTGTTCTGGGGACCAGATGGGACGCCAGGGACCGAATCCAGGTCCGCCGCGCGCGCTAGGCAGATGCCCGACCCACTGCATTATTGCTCTGGCCCCCTGGTTTTAGATTTGCCACGTTATCTTGAAGGACCCGAATTCCCCGGAACCTGGATCTAGGCACTGAAGAGAAATAGGGTGAGAGTGGAAAGAGAATGGCCCAGTCTGGATCTGCAGAACTTGCCAGCTCAGTACTCTCTTCACCCATCCCTTTGTTTTACCATCCTGCAGGCCTGAAACCCAATGCAGCCGTGTTCACCCATCCCCCTAGTGAAGGAAATTTAAAGTTTTTCACCTTCACGGCCATCCTACGCCCTGCCCTTTGCCTGCTTTTCCTTTCCTTCTTTCCATCAAATAAAGTTTCTAGTGGAGTTCATGACCGATTCCATCAGCCTAATCAGTGGCTGAATAAAGAGCAGTACTCCTACATTAAAAAAAATAAAGTTTCTATTGAACCTGGCCGCCTCTGGTCCACTCCTCTGCTTTCAATCTTGACTGTCCAAGGGCCAGAGAGATATTACAGTGGGTAGAGCTTCTTCCTTGCAGGTGGCTAACCTGACTTCAATTCCGTATGGTCCCCCCAGCCCTGCAGGAGTGATTCCTGAGTGGAAAGCCACAGCTAAACTCTGAGCACAGCCTGGGGTGGCCCCCAAACCAGAAAGCAAAAAGCCCTGAAATCGTGTAGTATTGACTATCTGAGGACAAGTACCCGAGCATGGTAGCACACCCCTTAAATTGGCAGTGGGCGTATTTGTGGTGTCCTGAAGACAAGATTGGTTGATCTTGGGCTGGAGAAATGGCTCAGTGGGTCCAAGCGTATGTTTGCTGCACACTGGGGTCCCAGGTTTGATCCCCACGCCACTCCATGCACCCCTAAGCACCATGGGGGATCCCCCAAGCACCTAGCAGGGAGTAGTCCCTGAGCACTGCCAGGTGTGCCCCCCTGCCCCAAGCAAACAAAAAGTGGTTGTTGAATAGCATTTAAGGGGGAGATTTGGGCCACACCTGCAGTGTTCATTCTGGGGATCCAACCAGGGTCAGCCGCAGGCAAGGGAAGGGCTTTAACCCCTCTGCAGCCCTGCTTGATAGAAATGTAACAGTTCTGTATCTCAAAGATCCTGCTGCCATTTGATGCTATGATCCCAGGTGATTTCAGGACTAGAACCTAATATCAGGTCCTACTTCAACTTCTTTTCACTTTTAATAATTAAAGGGGTTTTCCTTCTTTGCATCTCCATTTTTTTTTTTAGACGATCCTTGGAGAGACACAGGAAGAAGAAGATGAGATTCTTCCAAGGAAAGACTATGAGGTGAGGTTCTTAAATGCTGGCTCTGGTAGCAGAAGCCATGAGCGACCTGGTGACTTCTGACCCAAGCATCAGGACTCCCCAGAGAGCCTATGCTTCTGTTCCAGGATAGGTAACTTCTGGCTGGGAAAGGGGCGTTTTCACAAGGCATGGGCTGGGAAACCCAGTCCTTTCCTCGGAGGGAACTTTGTTCTCAGATGATTGTTTCCTAGTCAAGCAGCTTCTCTCTGAGTGGTTTCTGGTTTGGTTTTTCCCTCCCCTTTTTTTGTGGGGATGTCACCACTATGATGGTCACCCCTGTGAACTTCGTAGTGGTGACCATCTTTTCTTGTTCATACGTGATTGCTTTGTTAGGATTAACACTCCTTAAAAGTGCATTCAGGGTCTGGAGTGTCAGTATAGCAGGAAGGGCGTTTGCCTTGCACACGGCCAGCCAAGTTCAATCCCCGGCATCCTGTATAATCCCCAAGCCTGTCCAGGAATGGCACCTGTGCTCAGAGCCAGGCATAAGCCCTGAGCACTGCTGGGTGTAGACCAAATAAACAAACAAAAACCAGGGAAAAAAGAAAGTGTATTCATTATATATCTATTTTTTATCCTTTCATAATCTGTCACAGAGATGTTAAAAATTAAATATTTGGGGCCAGAGAGTACAGTGGATAGGGCCATTGCCTTAAATGTAGCTGACCTGGGTTCAATCCCTGGCACCCCATATGGTCCCTTGAGCTCTGACTGGAGTGATCCATGAGCACTGGGCCATAAGTAAGCCCTGAGCACAATTGGATGTGGTCCCCAAACCATCAAATTTTTATAAAATTAAAAATGTGGGGCTGGAGCGATAGTATACCGGGTAGGGCGTTTGCCTTGCACACAGCAGACCCAGGTTCGGTCCTCGGCATCCCATATAGTCCCCTGAGCACCACCAGGAGGAATTCCTGAGTGCAGAGCCAGGAGTAACCCCTGTGCATTGCCGGTGTGACCCAAAAAGCCCCCTGCAAAAAAAATCAAAAACCTTTGATCTGCTAGGGCTGGGGTGTGACTCAGTGGTGGAGCACTGCCTGTGAGCACCTGGGCTGTCCCTCACACTGTTGACCGCCAGGCGCCTCCAGTTGTGGCCCCCAAACTGCGGAAGTTTTCATTATGCCAGGGGAGTCAAAGACTAGACAAGGATTTTGTTTTTTGGGGGGCCACATCCAGCAATGCTCAAGAGTTTGAGGCTTGAGTCTTTTTCCCGATTTCACAGGTGCCTGTGTTGTTGTCTGTAGTGGAGAGGGTTGCAGGAATCGGGTGTGACCCTCTGTTGCTGTCCCCTGATGTCGCCCCTCCAGCCTACCCTTGCTGTCTTAATGCCGTTCTCTCTGACTCCTGTGCTTCAAGCTTCCATCACTCCTTTTGGTGAATTGCACTGATACGTGTCCTGAGTTACTTTTTTTTTTCTTTTCTTTTTCTTTTTTTTTCTTTTTTGTGTCACACCCAGAGATGCTCAGGGATTACTCCTGGCTCTGCACTCAGGAATTACTCCTGGCGGTGCTCGGGGGACCATATGGGATGCTGGGGATCGAACCTGGGTTGGCCGCATACAAGGCAAACGCCCTACCCGCAGTGCTCTCGCTCCAGAACCCCTGAATTACTTTCAACAGGCCATTGTGTTTATGTTAAAGTGCATGTCTCTGTCTAAATGTTGATGCCATGAATAGTTCTCACCAGCTTCACAAGCGCGTGTGCTTCGTGTGAGAGCAAATGTAGTTAGACACTTAGAGAAGTTGGGTCAGATTTTTATTTTTGCATCTAAGCGTTCAGCCAGAGAGACAGCGTGGGGGCGTAAAGCTCTTGCCTTGCATGCAGATGACCCCATTTCTCCCCCCCCCCCCCCGCCCTGGCTCCTTCCCTGCACCCCATCTGGATCCCGAGCAGTGCCCTGAGCACAGAGCTGAGTGTAAGTCCTGAGCACAGTTGAAACCCAAAACGCCGCCCTCCCCCGCACAAAAAAAAAAAAAACAAAATAAGGACTAACCCTACTGTTGCAATTCTTTCTAAAATCAGCACCTTCTTGCCATCCTAAGAATTAATTGCATGTACTTGTTCACTCTTGCTCTGATAACATGTTTTTATTTATTTATTTTTTTTAAGATATCCAAATCCCATTTTTGACATTCTCATTATCAATAGTTTTTTTTTTTTCTTTCGGGCTACACCTGGTTGTGCTCAGGGCTTCCTCCTGCCGGGCTGTACACTCGGGGGTCACTCCTGGTGGGGCTAGGGGACCATATGGGGTGCAAGGCAAATGCCTTTCCCGCTCCTGTCTCACCTCATTGTCAGTGGTTTGAATGAAGAAGGTCCCTTGGAGCGAACAGCATGAAGATGGTATGGGTAGGCTTAAGGAGGGACATCGGGACAGCAGAGGATCACACCCACATTCCTGCAAACCTTTCCACTAGAAACCCCCCCCCCCCACCACCCTATTTTTCCCCGCTCAGCGCCTAGCTGATCTGTTCAGGCTTCATTACAAATCCTTGCTTTGATGAAAGTCAGTTTCCACAGAGCTGTGTTAAATGAAGCCTGGCCATGCTGTCCTTTGGGGTTGAAAAGTCACCTCCCAGAGAGGAGGGTCTCAGGTAACACCTCCCCTCTCGGCCTGAGCAGAGCCCCAAGTGCCGAGGATACTGCCCGGAGCGGCTCTGCAGAGCCCAGAATCAGACATTCTGGGGACAGTTGGTCCCCCAATCCACAGGGCCACAGAGGGAAGGTGGTGAGTCACCGTGAGGCGCTGAGATGGCCTCTCACTGCACCGGCAGCTCACGTCCAGCAGTGCCCGTGTACAGTGGCAGAACCCTGCGCTTTTGTTTTTGGAAAAAGAGAAGATTGATGTTCTGGTATCGTGGTTGATTCTAAGTGCCTTTCTTTTTGCTTTTGGGCCACACCTGGCAATACTCAGGGGTTACTTCTGGCTCTGCACTCAGGAATTACTCCTGGTGGAACTCAGGGGACCACCTGGGGTGCCGGGGATTGAACCCAGATGGGCTGCGTACTGGGCAAGTGCCCTACCCATTGTACTATTGCTCCAGCCCCGCTAAATGCCTTCCTTAAAGGCTTTATTGAGCCATAACTCACAGCTCAATTTAAAGTGAACAATGCAGTGGTTTTTTTTTTTTCCATTATAGTAACAGAGCTTACAACTATCACAAAATAATTTTTTTCCTTGGTTTTTGAGGGATGTTTGGGTGTTACTCCTGGCTCTGCACTCAGGAATCACTCCTGGCCGTGCACAGGGGACCATATGGGATGCCGGGAATTGAACCCGGGTCAGCCGTAGCATGGAGCATTTTAAACACCCCCTGGCCATGATTGACTGGCCAGTATTCCTAGCTTATCTTGCTAGGGAATACTTGTTGAGAATTCTTAAATATTCAACTCTTAATTTTTTTTTCTATTTGTTTTTAGTACATGAATTTGCTTCATTGATTAAAAAATCCATCTCGGGGCTGGAGCGATAGCACAGCGGGCAGGGCGTTTGCCTTGCACGCAGCCGACCCGGGTTCGATTCCCAGAATCCCATATGGTCCCCTGAGCACTGCCAGGAGTAACTCCTGAGCGCAGAGCCAGGAGTAACCCCTGTGCTTCGCTGGGTGTGACCCAAAAAAGCAAAAAAAAAAAAAAAAAAAAAATCCATCCCTGGGACAAGCTGCCCTAGGGAGACAGCTGGGAGGGCTGAAGCACAGGCTTTGCATGTGGGGCCCCAGCTTGGACCCTTGAGTTCCAGGAGAAGCCCCCATCACCACTGGGTGCATCCCCTCAAGGACACGTGTCTTGTGGGTTCTCTTTGTTTGTTTCTTGTTTTGGTTCCTACCTGGCAGTGCTCTGGGCTTATTTCTGGTTCTGTGTCTAGGGCTCCCCTCCTGGCGGGGCTTAGGGGACAGCTGTGGTGGCAGGAATAGACCCAGCGTTGGCAGCGGGGAAGGCCAGCCCCTGAACCCCTCGGCTAACCCTCTGGGCCTGCCGTACAAGTTTAATCGTTCATGAATGAGTCTTGGGTTTTCTTTTAGTGGCAGGGGGTGGGACGTGGGTGCGGCAGAGGGCTGCATTTTGGGGCACACCTGGCCAAGCTTCAGGGTTTACCTCTGGTTTTGCATTTAGGAATTACTCTTGTCGGGCTTGGGGGACCATATGGGCTGCCAAGAATTGACTCCAAGGCAAACCCCAGCCCGTTGTACTGTCTCTCCAGCCATGCATAAGTCTTGTTTCCCAGCAGAAATACCTTTGGCTGGCTGTGGTGTTTTTGTTTTATGATCAGGGGATAAAAAGTATCTCTCGGGGCTAGCACAGCGGGTAGGGCGTTTGCCTTGCATGCGGCCGACCTGAGTTCGATTCCCAGCATCCCATATGGTCCCCTGAGCGCCGCCAGGAGTAATTCCTGAGTGCAGAGCCAGGAATAACCCCTGTGCATTGCCGGGTGTGACCCAAAAAGCAAAAAAAAAAAAAAAGTATCTCTCAAGCATGTTAGTGCAGAGTTTAAGGTGCTTGCCTTGCATGATTCCAGTTCTATCACCCACACCACTGACGGTCCCCTTAGCACTACCAGGGGTCACTCCTGAGCACAGAGCCAGGAATCACTCTGTGTGCTACCAGGAATCGAAACTGGGTCCGCTGTGTGCAAGGCTAGCTCCTTACCCGTTAGACTAGCTTTCCAGCCTCAGAGCCCCCTGGGAAGGAATTTGACCCAAGCTCCAGGTGGCACAGCTTTGGAGTTCCCTGGGCACTGAAGGGCCCAAGCAGTACTGTGTCGCCAAGCGGGACGAGAAGCCACCCCCCTGCATGCTATCACTGGAAGTGGCCCTTGGCCCCCTGGGAATTGCTGGGGAAATCTGAGAAATAAGAAGGGGACTTAGGTTCTTGGGTAGCACAGACGTGTCACGCCGGTGCTGGGTCTGGGGCCTGCAGGCCAGGGTCTCGCCAATATGCCAGCACACGTGTGGCTGGAAGCAGGTTCTAGAAGGAGAAGCTCCGTGGCGCCATCGTCTTCTGCCACCAGGCCGCAGCTTCTCTCGCGGGAGATTCAAATACAGTGTCTGTGGCTCCCTGAATTGTTTCTGGAAAGATCTCTGGCAGCCAGCAGGTTGTTTGTCTCCGCGACGTGTCCTGTTGAATGTGGCCTCAGGAATGCGGGTGTGGGTGGGAGACTGGAGCCTGACTGGGGGGCCGGGCTGAAGCCAGGGCTCTTGCCCGCGTGCCCTGTTGCAACTTCCTTTTCCTTTATCTTCTTTGACGTGGGGCCACAGCCAGCTCAGGGGCCGCTCCTGTAGTGCCGGGGTCAAGGTGTGGTGGTGGGCATCAAGCACAGGGCTCCGGGCCTGGGGCCCTCTCCCCTCGTGGCTGACCCTGCTCACAGGAGCTGACCCCCTGCTTCATTGACGGTCATGTTCGTTCACTGGCATTAGCGATGAGGGGCGGAGGACTTTGAACATTTGCAGAAAACATGTCATTTAAAACGACTCCTGATAATGGCATGTCTGACCCCAAAACAATGCTCCCAAAGTGGTCTCTTGGGCGGTGTAGATGCGGGCTGCAGATTGCGATCTGCGCAGCCATGGGCTGCGGGGCTGGGCCCCATGCTGCCACCGCTCTGCCCACCCTACCCATCCCCATCCTGCAGTGGTACAGGGGCCTGGAAGGCCTGTGGTTGGCACCGGGGGGTTGGGGGTCGCCCCTGGCACTGCACCCGCAGCTCAGGGACCCCGAGTTTTATCCCCTTCCAGGTTCATCTGACCCATCCTGTCCACTTGGGCCTTTAACTTCATGTCCCTCTTTCAGAGCTTGGACTATGACCGCTGTATCAATGACCCTTACCTGGAAGTGCTGGAGACCATGGACAATAAGGTGAGGCCTTTCTTGCGCCGCTGGAGCGGATAGGCAGCTCCTTCCTCTGTAGCGTGTCCCCTTGAGGGCCTTCACCCCCCTCGGCCTGTGCCCACATCTCTCCAACACCGGCCTCCATTCGATGGCCTTCATCCCGCCCCCAGCAGACCCGCGATCTGTGTGCCCAGCCCTGCCCCTTCCATCTGTCCCTCTGTGGGACCACACCCTGCCCTGGCAGCCTCGTCTCCGCCGTGCGGGGCTTCCTGTACGGTGTGGTCGTGGCTGGAGGGATGCCTCCTGGCACTGCTGGTCACGTGGCCCGGGGCCCACTGAGTCCGACCTTCTCCTCTGTATCCGCAGAAGGGCCGCAGGTACGAGGCGGTGAAGTGGCTGGTGGTGTTGGCCATCGGAGTCTGCACCGGGCTGGTGAGTCCACGGGGCCGGGGAGCTGGTGGGTGAGGTGGCACCGCAGATGAGTCGCTGGTGTCCAAACAAAGACCATCTTCTCCTCGTCTGCTGTGATGTCCGGGGTCGGTGCTGGCGCCGTTTTCCAACGTCTTTGGCGGTTTGGCTTCGTAGAGAGGAGCCCCTGGCCCCGGTGTGGCCACACTAGGCCGTGCGCAGGGGCTGCTTCTAGCGCTGTGCCCAGGGGTGACCCCTGGCAGGGCTCCGGGATATGAAACTGGGCTGTAGCAGAGCAGGCGCCCGCCTCTGTGCTGTTCCTGCTCGGTGCACTTTATTTATTTATTTGTAATGCCTTCTTTCTTTATTTTGGCTTTTTTTTTTTTTTTTTTTTGGTCACATCTGGCGGTGCTCAGGGATTCCTCCTGGTGGTGCTGGGGGACCATTTGGGATGGCGGGAATCCAACCTGGGTCAGCCGCGTATAAGGCAACGCCCTGCCCACTGGTGCACTTTCAAGCAGTCGGCACTGTGCTCAGGATCTGCCGGGGCTGCTGGACGCATGGCACAGTCCAGAGGTTACGGAGTGGACACCGGGGCCGCTGTAACGCGGCTGGGCAGGACAGCGCTGTGCTGGCGGCCTCCCTTTATCTAGGAGGTAGGGGTGGCAGTGAGGGGAAGGACGTGCCGGAGTGCTCTGGAGTGGCGAGTTCACGGGTGACCCATGGGCTGGACACGATTTGGAGAAGCTGCCAACAAGTCCAGCAGCCAAAGTTCTGGAACCATAGTGGCTGCGTCAGGGGGCTTCTGCCTGGAGCAGGGGCCAGGAAAAGGGGGCCCAAGCCGTGGGCTCCCATGGGGGCAGGCTCTGTGTATGCGAGGCCCGGAGTTTGACCCCCAGGCAGCGGCATGCGGAGTGATCCGGGTTAGCCCTGGTTGTCCAGGTGCTTTCCACGCTCCTGGTGGCAGGGCTGAAAGACCACAGACTGGGTGACAGGGTGACACCATTGATTTTTCACAGTGCTGGAAGGACAAAATCAAGGCAGTGACAGATGCAGGGTCAGGAGTGGGTGGGTGTTTCCCGTTTGCAGATGCTGTCTCTTGGCTTTGCCCTCCGGGGACAGAGGGGCCTTTTGCATCTGGACACAAATCCCAGGCCGCCCTCTCCCATCAGACTATCTCCCCTGAGTCCCTGAGGGCTACCTTTACTATCAGACTACCTTCCCTGAATTCCAGGCCCGAGGGCCGCCCTCCCCCATCAGACTGTTGCCTCAAATCCCTGTGGGCCGCCCTCACCATCAGACTACCTTCCCTGCATCCCAGGCCCAAAGGCCACCCCCCACCATCAGACCTCCTGCCCCCAGTCCCAGGCCTGAGGGGCCACCACCATCAGACCACCTTCCCTGCATCCTAGGCCTGAGGCCCGCCCCCACCATCAGACCTCCTTCCCTCCGGGGTGAGATGTTTGCGCTAGTCTTGGGGGTACAAACATTTGGTCCAACAGGCATCTTTTGTTTTCCAAAGAAGCATCCTGTCCGTCACCTTCCTTGTGAGTTGAGACAAGTATCATACTGAATTAGGCCGAGTTTACCGGTGCCGTGTAAGTGTGTGTGTGTGTGTGTGTGTGTGTGTGTGTGCGTGTGTGCAGGTGTCATGCAGCCACTGAGCTGACCGCAGTCTATGTGCATGGCCCTGGTCAAGGTTTTGCTGTTGGAAGGTTGACCCTAGGGAATCTTCCTCCAGGAAAATGGGGAGGTGAGGACGGTCTTCCGGAGCGTGGGGGCTGTCGGGCTGTCAGAGGGTGCCAGGTCAGGGTCCAGACCCCTGCCTCTTGAGGCTTCCATCCCATCTCCTTGCTTTAATGAAATGCCGCATGTCTCTTGTGCTGTTCCCAGTCGCAGGCTTCCCTGCAGTAGCTCTCACCCACCATCCAGTTGTTAGCTGCTACTTTTTGCTTCTATGTTTTGTTTTGGGGACCAAGTAGTATTCCTGGCTCTGCACTCGGATCACTGCTGTTGGTTTCAGGGGAGCAGAGGGGGTGCTGGAGGTCAAGCCCAGGTCCACTGCATGCAAGGCCAGCGCCGTCCCCGATGTCCTGTCGCTCGGGTCCCTGTGCTACTTTTTGGGTGTGGCCTCTGTGAGATGCTGGCCAACAGTACTAACCACCCTTCTGGCCCTCGCATCCTGGGAGGGACCTGCCTGTAATGTGTCACTCCCACTCCCCGGCCACTGCTGCCAGGGGCTGAGAGCTCGCCAGGCTGGGCATGGGCTCAGCCTGCGCGCCAGGCCTGGGATTTGCTCCCTGACACCGCGTGGTTCCCGGCACGGCTGTGCCCACCCCCGACCCCCAATAAAAAAAAAAAGAAAAGGAAACTATAAACTAAAAACCTGCAGGCTTTGCTTAAGGCAGCCAGAGTTAAGGAAGTGGAGCCTTTGGGGGGAGACCGTACAGCAGGGAGGGTGTTTGCCTTGCACGTGCCAAGTTCAACCCCCAGCATCCCATCTGGTTCCCTGAGCGGCACCTGGAGTAACCCCGCGTGCAGAACCAGGAGTAACCCCTGAGCAGCACCGGGTGTGACCATAAACAAACAACAGCAAAAATAAGGGGAGTCTTGGATCGTGAACCCACAGAGGCCAGGTAGATGGCCCTGGTGGGATGGAGGGGCGCTGGCGGCTTCTCTGATTTCCCAGGGCCGCCAGCGGCCAGACACCGAAGCGGTGACTTCTGCAGTACAAATCATCCCAACAGGCCCACAGACACCAACTCCGTCCCCTGAGTTGTTTGCCCGTCCAGCCAAGCGTCCTGGGCACATTTGAGGGGTGGCTTTGCAGCCGCTGGGGGCACAAGCTGCGTGGGCCCCTCAGACAGCACAGCTTTGTTCCACGGGCATGGCTGGCCCCCTCGTGTCCCCCACTCACACCGCTCAGGGCTCTGCCGTCCTTCGTGTTTGGGAGGGGTGGGTGGCGAGGCGGCTGTCCAGACCCGCTTACTCGTGGGCGGTTGGTGGCAGGGGCCGGGCAGCTGTGACGCCCTTTGCTGCTTCCCGCAGGTGGGTCTCTTCGTGGACTTCTTCGCGCGTCTCTTCACGCAGCTCAAGTTTGGAGTGGTGACGACGTGTATCCTTTGCAGCCCCCGGCCCCGCCTCGGGACAGTGCCACAGAGACAGTGCCACAGGGGCTGGCCTAGTGGCCTGTGTAGTCAGGGAGAGGCCAGTCCGAGTCCTGGGAGGAATTCCTCAATGCTCTGCCGAAGTCTCCATACAAGGAAGTTGTCTGCAAGCCACAGTAAAACACTCCAGACACAGGGAGAAAAAGCAAGTGCATGTCCTTGGCGAGTGATTCACTGCATTTTGGAGACAGGATTCAGAGCAGGGAAGTTCAGTAAACATCAGGGCCCGTTGGCCCAGGGGGGGACTCGAGCCCAGGATGTGAGTCATCGAGGCCAGCCGGTAAACAAACCTGCCGAGATGCTTCTCCCCATCCACGCTGGGGTCACTGGCCCCTGAGTGTGGGGCTCGCGGACACAGCTCCAGGCTGCGCGGAGAGTGGGAAGCTGGGTGTGCCGCCAGAGCATCTGACATACAGCAGTCAGAGAGAGTGGGCAGCGCTGGGCGGGAGCTGGGGGTCACCGGAGGGGGAGAAGCAGGGGACCTGTAGCATGTCCAGATAAACGCAAGGTCCCGGCTGAATGTAGAAACACAGTTCAGTAGAGCCGGGGAGGTACCCGGGCAGGGCCTGGCGTTTCAGCCTGGTGGTTGTCCCTGGGAGGGACAGAGGAAAACGTTTTTTTTTGTTTTTTGTTTTTTGGCAGGGGGGGGGGTGTGTGGAGGGTAAGGGCAGGGGGTGCTCAGGGGCTATTCCTGACTCGGCTCTGAAGTGACCCCTGGTAATGCTCCAGAGACCTTATGCCGTGCTAGGGATCGACCCAGGGTCGTAGCCAAAGCCAGCACATGCAAGGCTAGCCCTTTTTCCTTGTACACTCTCTTCAGCCCCCCAAACAGGGTTTTAAAATAGTTTCTTGGGGTGGGGGGCGGATGATGGTACAGAGGGTAGGGCGTTTGCCTTGCGCACAGCTGACCCGGGTTCAATCCCCCGGCATCCCATATGGTCCCCCAAGCACTGCCAAAAATAATTTCTGAGCGCAGAGCCAGGAGTAACCCCCGAGCATCGCTGGGTGTGACCCAAAAAGCAAAAAAACAAACATAAAATAGTTTCGGGGGGGAGGGGTGTGCGGGCATACGTAGTAGTGCTCAGGGCTTACTCCTGGCTCTGTGCTCAGGGATCATACCTGGTGCCAGGGATCAAACCTGGGTTGGTCACATGCAACCAAGTACTGTCCCCACTCGGTTGCATCTCTGACCCCTGATGTTTTCACTTTTTAAACTAGTGGGAGCATTAGGGCCGGACATTGAATCTGTTGAAACTAAAGATTGGAGTCCTCCAAAGCCAGTACTCAGGAGGTCGGGGGGCCCCACTGGGCCACTGTGCAGGGAAGGGTTCTGCGGTGTCAGGGACCCCGGCCCATACCCACCAGTGCTCCCAGCCTGTTCCCAGCGCCGGGTGCCTGCTGGCATGTGCTCTGACCGCCCTGTCTCCCGGCCCCGGGGTCTCTTTTGACCGTTCGTGCCTCACACATGGTCTCTCGTGTAAGCGTCATTCTCGCGGGCCTGCCGCTTTCTCTGACGTGTGGGTCTGGGACCAGGAAGGGCCGCAGGAGGCAGCCTCGGGGCTCGTGTGTCTCCCTTAACCCCGTTTCGCAGCCGTGGAGGAGTGTAGCCAGAAGGGCTGCCTCGCCCTGTCCCTCCTCGAGCTCTTGGGCTTCAACCTGACCTTCGTCTTCCTGGCCAGCATCCTTGTCCTCATTGAGGTGAGCTGGTGGGGGGGGTGGCCTCTCGCTTGCCAGGTTGGTGGGGGCGGGCGGGGGGGGTCCTGCAGGTCTGCATCTGACTGTCAGGAATCGAGCTCCACCTTAGAATCTGCAGCCCTGCAGAAAGGGAAAGGAACCTTCCAGTCCCCGGGGAAGAAGGTTGGAAGAAGCAGGGCAGAGGCAGTGTGGAAACATCTAGAATTAGGTGCGTCTCACCTGTGGCCGCCTCTTAACATCACCTGGCGAGCCTCAACAGGTGACTCTTGCCAGGAGGCCCCAGCCAGGAAAGGGGGCGCAGCTCCCTGGGTGAAGCTGAACCCCCAGGTTTGAAATGCAGCTCTTCCGGGTCCCCGTGGACCTGCCAAGTCAGAAACATCGGTCTCCCTGCCCCGTCCCACTGACCGTGTTTGACTCGGCCCATCGGGTGCTGCGTGTGCTGCTTGTGGAAAGTCAGCTTCCCACCTCTGGGGCATCTTTGAGACGGTTCTGGAAGGCTCTGGTTCCTCCCACTGTCCCCACAGCCCGTGGCAGCAGGCTCCGGGATACCAGAGATCAAGTGCTACCTGAACGGCGTGAAGGTGCCCGGGATCGTGCGGCTCCGAACTCTGCTCTGCAAGGTCTTCGGGGTGCTGTTCAGCGTGGCCGGAGGTGAGGCAAGGCCTTCCCGCATGTCCCTCCTGGCTGAGGGGCCAGGACGAGTACCCAGGGGCCACCCAACCCGGTCAGCTGCGGGCAAGGCAGTCCCCTCCCCTGCTATACTCTCTCCTGTTCATTTCTTTTTTCTTTTTTTTTGCTTTTTGGGTCACACCCGGCGATGCACAGGGGTTACTCCTGGCTCTGCACTCAGGAGTTACTCCTGGCGGTGCTCAGGGGACCATATGGGATGCTGGGAATCGAACCCGGGTCAGCCGCATGCAAGGCAAACGCCCTACCCGCTGTGCTATCTCTCCAGCTTCAGTTCATTTCTTTTTTATTGGAAAGCTTTGTTTTGGGCCGCATTTGGAGCTAAGGGGCTACTCCCAGCTCAGTGCTCTGGGGTTGCTCCCAGGGTGCTCAGACCATTTATGGCCCAGGATGGAGTCCACGGTTTCTGCATGTGAAACTCTCCTGACTCTGGTGGGCCACTTTTATATATTTTTTTGTTTCTTTTTTTTTTTTTTTAAGACCGCACCCAGCGATGCTCAGGGTTTGCTCCTGGTTCTGTACTCAGGAATCACTCCTTCCTGGCAGTACTCAGGGATCCTAAGGGATGCCGGGGATTGAACCCAGGTTGGCCGCGTGCACAGCAAGTGCCCTCCCCTTTGTACTGTTGTTCCGGCCTTACGGGTCCTTTTTAAACTCAGACACCACAGTAAGTTTCCTTTGAGGCTATTCAACAAGGGCCCTGTTGAGTTGGTTTTCGGCAGTTCCAACAAGCTTTCTGTCTGAAAGGCCAACTACTGAAGATCCACTCATGGTCAAGCTGGGTTCGATCCCCGGTACCCCATGTGATCCCCTGAGCCCGCCAAGAGTGATCCCTGAGTGCTGAGCCAGCAGTAAGCCTTGAGTATTGCCGGGTAGGGCCCAAAAACCAAAAAAAAAAAAAAAAAAAAAAAAAAAAAAAAGGTTGGGTTAAGGTTAGGCCTGTGACCCCTGACCCTGCACCTCCATTCCAGGACTCTTTGTGGGAAAGGAAGGCCCCATGATTCACAGCGGAGCGGTACTGGGCGCCGGCCTGCCACAGGTAAGGAAGGGCAGAGACACGCCTGCACTGACTCGGAAATGAACTTTGGGGGTGCCTCCCAGGGCCTTGGGGTTTGCTCTTTGTTAGGAGAGGGGGCGCCTGGGTTGGGTGCCGAGGGTCTGCTCATGCTGTTGTCCGGCCTGCCCGCCTCAGTGGGATCTGCTCAGCTCTGCCAAACCCGGGAGGCCTCCCTGTGCCTGCATAGCAGGGGCTGCTGTCAGCCCAGCACTCTGGATACCCCCTGCACCTCGCTTTCTTTTCACGAGGAAGCTGAGCCAGCCGCGTGGGGTCCCTGCCCACAAGTTGGAGATGGTCTCTTCCCAGGGAGGCAGCTGGTTGAGTTGCAGTGGAAGTGAAGAGCACTTGCCCACAGAGTAGCTTTCGCTGACTTCTTGCCTCTCTGCGTCACCCCAGAAGTAAACTGAGAGGTGGTGGTGGGGCCGGACTCGTCTGGGGACCCTGTGCGACATCCTTGGCTGCCGGGCCCCTCTCGCCCGACCGCTCCAGCAGCGTGGCGCTGTGTCTGCCTCCGCTGAAGCTGGTTCACTGGTCCCCCTTTCTCTCGGACCTGCTGGCCATGCATAGATTTGTTGAGAAGCCCCCAGAAGTGGAGGAAGGGGCCAGAAGAAATAGCTCCTCTTTCCGGCCACTGTTGTGTCTCTGCCTCCCTCACCTCTGCCCCGGGCCCTGCCCCCAGGCCCCTCTGACGCCGTGTACTTGTTCTGCTTCAGTTCCAGAGCATCTCTCTCCGGAAGATCCAGTTCAACTTCCCCTATTTCCGAAGTGACAGGTATGGACAGTTGGGAGCCCCAGGCCCGCACCCCTGCCCCTGCCCGTGTTGGAGGCTCTCCCTGCCAGGCAGGCTCTCCGCAGCCCTTTGGCCTCCAGGTCCAGGTTGGCCCTGACACAGAGGCTGGGAGGGTCTTGGGCCGTGAGGCCAGGGCCTGGTTGAAGGGACGGCACGTTCTGGAGACGTTTCCCTCCCAGACGCCCTCATGCACAACTCTGTCCAGTGATTTGTGTGTGTCCAGACTCGCACAAGGGCCTTGAGGGGTCCCCCAGGGTCAACACTGCCCCCTGAACTGGAGGTGTAGTTAGTTCAATGGTCAAGGGAGTGCCTTGCATGAACGAGAGTAGGTCCCGGTACCCACCGACGCTTGTTTCTGGAAGATCTGGTTAGACTTGGCTCTGACTGAGGCATCCACCTTCCTGCTAGTGGCAAAATCTGGGTTCTTGGAAGCAGCCAGGAACCCCACTCACTGCTGAACCCCCACACACTGTAGGAGCCCCGCTGCCGGCAGGAGCCGCGCCCACTGTAGGACCCATCCATTGATGCAACCCCGCCCACTTAGGAGTCCCACAGGTTGCGACAGCCCTGCCCACTGTAAGACCCTCCCACTGCGGCAACCCCACCCACAGTAGGGACCCCGCCCACTGATGCCGCCCTGACCACTGATGCCACCCTGCCCCGGTGGCAGCCCTGCCTCTGGAGCCGGCCTTCGCGTCTGGGGCTGCCCCTGCCCCTCCCGGGTCAACCGCCTCCCCCTCTCTCCTCAGAGACAAGCGGGACTTTGTATCAGCAGGGGCGGCTGCTGGCGTCGCTGCGGCTTTCGGGGCTCCCATTGGGGGTACCTTGTTCAGTCTGGAGGAGGGCTCGTCCTTCTGGAACCAAGGGCTCACGTGGAAAGTGGTGAGACTTAGCCGCGCCCCAAGATTCCACCGGGCGTCACTCCCTCCTCGCCGGAGTTTCAGTGCGCCCATTGAAGGTGGGGGTGGGGGGCATCTTGGGGTTGCCTTTGTTATGCCGGTTCCCGGCCCCCAGGAGCAACCTCCAGGTCAGACTGAGCCCGCTGCAGGGGGTGGGGATCCTGTAAGGGGAGCAGAGCGGGACTCGAACTCCGGACCCCGCCCAGAGGGTGTGGTCATCCTCCTGTTTACAAAAACTAAACCCACCCTCTCCCCGGAGACTGCTTCTGGCCTGCCTGTCCTGGTCCCCCTTGAGAGCCCCCCCCCAGCCCTGGATGTGGACCCCGAGAGCTTCCTGCGCTCTCGCCGCCCAGCGTCCAGCGTCTCTCTCCCGCCCTCCCGCCCTCCAGCTCTTCTGCTCCATGGCCGCCACCTTCACGCTCAACTTCTTTCGTTCTGGGATCCAGTTCAGAAGCTGGGGTTCCTTCCAGCTCCCCGGCCTGCTGAACTTCGGCGAGTTTAAGGTAGGTGTCGGCCTGGCCCCCAGAGCGCCTTCGTCCTCGGAAGTGCCTCGAGCTGGCCTCCCCTCCGCTCCGCTCCCCTCTTAGCTCTCCGCTGCAGCCCCTTCCTGCTCTCATGGGCTCTGGTTTTTCTCTCTCCTTCCCTCGCTCCTTCTCTCAGTGCTCTGACTCTGATAAAAAATGTCATCTCTGGACAGCTATGGATTTGGGGTTCTTCGTCATGATGGGGGTCATCGGGGGCCTCCTGGGAGCCACGTTCAACTGTCTGAACAAGAGGCTTGCGAAGTACCGTATGCGGAATGTGCACCCGAAACCTAAGCTCGTCAGGTATCTGTGCAGTAGCCCCCTCCCCCCTCCCCCCAAATCCTGCAGGGGCTCCTCGAGCCTCGTGTGGACCGGGCTGTCTCCCCCCAGGAAGCAGGTGGGGGGTGGAGCCCAGCACTGCTGGGTCACCAGCCCCGCCTTCCCGGCTGGAGCGCAGGGCTGAGTTGGGTTCGGCCGACTGGCCCTGGGCACCTGGGTCCTTTCTCTGAGGAAAGACCTCTGCACGACCAGTGGCTGGAGAGTGGCCAGTCCGGGCCGTTTCCAGCCTGCACTGAGACTGAGGGGGAAAGGAGCTTTGGGGGTGCACAGGGCTATGCTTTGGGGTTCCCACAAACCGGGTGGCTTTTAACTCCCCAGTTTGCTTTGTCTCCTAGAGTCCTCGAGGGCCTCCTGGTGGCGCTGGTGACCACCGTGGTGGTGTTTGTGGCCTCGATGGTGCTGGGGGAATGTCGGCCGCTCTCTGCGGCCCAGCTCGGGAACGGCTCACTCCAGCTCCAGGTGACTCCCCGCAGGGCACCCTCCCCCCCCCCGCCCCCCACGCGGAACCCAGCAAGGTCCGGCTCATCTCTTTGCTGCAGACAGTCATCAGGTGGGGTCCCGAGTGCCAGGAGGTGGTCTCGGCCTGAGGGGAGGCCCCCCCGTCACTTTTCCCATCTGTGAGCCGCAGTGATGGGCTGGGAGGGTCAATCCTGCCCTGTCTCGCCTTCCCGGCTCGCCGCCTGGGTTCGGGACGAGGCTGGCTCATTGCTGTTTGCAGTTCTCTTTCCCTTTCCCTGGTGGAGCTGGGTCCGTGATACAGAGACAGAGCTTGCTCACTCCCTGTCTTCCCTTCAGCCCGGTGGGGCCGAGACCAAAGACCATACCGCCAGCGGTGGTTCTGGGGTGCTTTGGGGTGCTTGCTCCGGTACCTGAGCGACTCCTGACTGGCCACAGAATCTCGGCGTCTCCCTTGGCCGTGGCTTGGCTCACCGTCCCCAGGAACGGGCTGGCCGAGCAGCTGGGATGTGGCAGATGGCCCCGGCAGCTGCTCCTCGCTGAGGGCAATTGTCCTGTTTTCAAAGGGTTGAAAAAGCGGAAAAATCTGCTAACCCGGCGATACGCCGCCTGCACGGCCTGAAATGTTTACTGCCTGGCTCTGTAGAGAAAAAGTTCGTGAGCCCTTGTTTGAATTATTCCAAACCCCCTCGGTGTAGTATATGCAGATCATCTAAAATGTGCCCGCGGGAACCTGGAGGTGTAAGATTTGGAGGTGCAGACGGCAGGGCGGGCAGAGTTCGGTGAGCTGCTGGCACAGGGACCTCCTGGGGCTGCCAGCAGTCGGAGCTCCAGGCCTTGATAGTGTGCAGGACCTTCCACCCAGCTCTGCAGAGTCCTGCCCTTCATTTTTAATTAATTAATTAATTTATTTATTTATTTCGAATACCCAATCTCCACGGGCGCCCATTTCCCACCACCACGGATCCCAGTATCCCTCCCACCCCCCATCCCCTCCATCCCACCCTGCCTCTGTGGCAGGGCATTCCCCTCTGTTCTCTCTTTCCTTTTGGGTGTTGTGGTTTGCAAAAGAGTTAAGTCTGATTTTCAGGGAGAAACGTTGGATGATTTACTTTCCATTGATCACTTTGTATATAAGGAGATGTCAGGCGGCCACTTACGTGGCCGTGTGGTTTGGAAAGAATGTCCTGGGGCCCGCTTGCAGGCTCACGGTCATCGGGGTTCCATCTGGAGAAGGCAGGATGCAGCACCTACCCCATCTGGGACCTCCCGGTGATATCGACTCTGTTTGGGACCTGGAGCATTCTCCGTTGCCCTTCATTTTTTTATTTTTTTGGTTTTTGCTTTTTGGATCACACCCAGCGGTGCACAGGGGTTATTCCTGGCTCATGCACTCAGAAATTACTCCTGGCAGTGCTCGGGGGACCACATGGGATGCTGGGAATCGAACCCGAGTCGGCTGCGTGCAAGGCAAACACCCTACCCGCTGTGCTATCACTCCAGCCCCTGCCTTCATTTTTTAAAAATAAATTTTTACTGGATCACCCTGAGATAGTTACAAACTTTCACGGCTACGTTTCAGTCATACAGCGATCAAGTACCCATCCCTCCACCAGTGCCCATTTTCCACCACCATTGTCCCCAGTGTCCCTCCCACCACCCCCACCCCATCCCACCCTCCTGCCTCTGTGGCAGGTACTTTCCTTCTTACTCTCTTTCTAATGTTGGGTGTTGTGATTTGCAGTACAGATACTAAGAAGCCACCATGTTTGGTCCTTAGTCTACTTTCAGCACACGTCTCCCATCCCAGGCGACCCCTCCAACCATCATTTACTTAGTGGTTCCTTCTCCATCCCAGCTGCCTTTTCCCCCAGCACATGGGGCCGGCTTCCACACTGTGGAACAATCCTCCTGGCCCTTAACTTCTACTGTCCTTAGGTGTTAGTCTCATATTATGTTATTTTATATTCCGCAAATGAGTGCAGTCATTCTCTGTCTGTCCCTCTCTCTAATTTCACTTAGCATGATACTCTCCGTGTTCATCCACTTGTATGCAAATTTCATGATTTCATCTCTTCTAACAGCTGCATAGTATTCCATTGTGCAGGTGTGCCAAAGTTCCTTTGATCAGTCATCTGTTCTCGGGCACTCGGGTTTTCTCCAGATTCAGTTGTGCCCTTTAGTCCTTCCCCACCACCACGGTGGCGCAGGGGTTCTCCCATTTTTAACAGGTGAGAAAACCTGGCGAAGGAAGGCCTTTTTGTGGGGTGGTTTTGGAGGGGCCATACCTAGCATTGCTCAGGGGACCACAAGCCACAAGCACCCAAGCCCATCCCTTCACCCCTAAGTAAGGTCTTCTGAGGGGCATACCCGGCTGTGCTGAGGGGACCACATGCCGTACCAGGGATCGAACCAGGCACATCCATGTGGCTTACAGGCAGCCCCCCCAAAGGTCTGTCTCTTGTGGCGATGACTTGGGGCCACCCCCGGGGGGTTCTGGGCTTACTTCCGGCGCTGTGGTCAGAAGTCACTGCTGGCAGGGTTCCAAGTACCATATAGGGCATCAGGAACTGAACCAGGGTCAGCCTCATGCAGGCAGGGCCTGTGTCTTAACCCTGTGCTGTCGCTCCAGCCCCAAAGTAAGGTCGTGAGCAAGCTCAGGCTGGCTCAGCTACGCCCCCTGCTGCTCTCTTAGCTTCCAGCAGGGGGCGCTGTCCCTCTGGTTTTCCCAGCCAGGCCCACCCTAGTTGTGCCCACGAAAGTGCCTCCCCATGGTGTCGTTTGGAAGCCAGTCCAGGAAAATTCCATGTCTGAAATGAACTTGGGAATAGCCCTATTTGCCCAGAGTCGGGTCCCAGGGTGCCCCCTGCACTCCGGGACACCCCAGCCAAGCAGCATGAACCGTCTGGCGCTAAAAGAGCCTCACTCCCGGCGGGTCGGGTGGTGCCAGAGTCTCGCCTCATAGTCCAGCCCCCGTGCAGGGAGGAGAGTCTGAAATGGGGAAGGGCGGTGGCAGCGGCAGTCAAGGGCCTGGGGCTGCATCCTGCAGCCTTCTGGGAGGGGAGGTTTCCTTGCAGCAAAATTTGGGGGAGTTGTTTCGGTGTTTTGTTCTGTTTTGTTTTGGGGCAGTATGCAGGGCTTACTCCCGGCTCTGAGCTCAGGGATCACCTTTGGCAAGATCAGGAACCGAATATGGTGCAGAGGGTGGAACCCGGGTCGCCTTGTGCAAGGCAAGCGCCTTCCCTGCTGCACTGTCACTCCGGCCCAGTTAGGTGGGGGTTTAAGCGCAAAGGGACCGTGAGTGCTCCTCTCCAGGGTCCCGGGAATCCCAGCCCCATCAGCCCAGGCCTGGTGCTCTGGCCCACACTTAGAGCTGCATCGCTTAGGAAGCTCACGCCAGGGGAGGAAGCTGTGCTGAGTCCGGGGTGACGTGGAGCTGTGTCACCTCTTCATGATGGATGGGGACAGGGTCCAAGTGCAGAGGACGCTGCCTCACGCGGGGCCCTCTCATGTGCGGAGTTCTTGGGGGTGGCCTGATTACTTGGGGGAGATGACTCAAGGCAGACTGTCAGCCTGGCAGGGGACTGTCAGCCCCCGTGATGACCTCCGTGACCAGGCCAGGTGCCGTAGACTATCATCCTAGCTTGGGACAGCCCACGCAAAGACCCCTGTGTCCAGCCGGACACTGACCCTGGATCCTCCCCCAGGGTGCCTCGGATGTGAATTCCAGCATCAAGACTTTCTTCTGCCCCAACGAGACCTACAACGACATGGCCACCCTCTTCTTCAACCCGCAGGAGTCTGCCATCCTCCAGCTCTTCCACCAGGACGGTGGGTGTGCAGACTTGGGGGGTGGGGGTGCATCGGGAACAGCAGCCGTCATTCCTCTGCCCCTTCTGGGGACCCCCCCCTCCCCGCCCCAGACACAGCAGTCAGGCCCTTCCTCCTGAGCATCACGGGAAAATTCCGTGTCTGAGATGAGCCTGGGAATATGCCGTTGGCTTGCCCAGAACACCCCAGGCCACGTTAGCAGCTCTGCCTCCAAAGTTGAGAGAAAACCGCGGCAGGAGCAGGAGGCTTTGGGGGCCCCAGACAGACTCGGGGCATTGGACTTGGTCTGCCTGTTCCTGTCTTGCAGGTGCCTTTAGTTAGGTTATTATTTGGGGGGGGCCCACACCTGGCGGTGCTCAGGGCTTGTGCTCCTGGCTCAGGGATCTCTCCTGGCAGGGCTCAGGTGCCAGGGGTTGAACCTGGGTTGGCTGCCTACACAGCAAGCGCCATGCCCACCATGCTCTATCTCTGTCCCTTGCAGGTACCTTTAGCCCCATCACGCTGGCCCTGTTCTTCGTCCTCTACTTCTTGCTTGCGTGCTGGACTTACGGCGTGTCCGTGCCAAGTGGCCTTTTTGTGCCTTCTTTGCTATGTGGCGCTGCTTTTGGACGTTTGGTGGCCAATATCCTGAAAAGGTACCGAGAGAGAGAGAGAGAGAGAGAGAGAATATGTGTGTGTGTGTGTGTGTGTGTGTGTATAAACACCCCCCCCACACACACACACACACCCTGGTTCTAAGTTCCTTGTGGGTTTCTTACTCTCAGCTACATCGGACTGGGCCACATCTACTCGGGGACTTTTGCCCTGATTGGGGCCGCGGCGTTCCTGGGCGGGGTCGTGCGCATGACCATCAGCCTCACCGTCATCCTGATCGAGTCCACCAACGAGATCACTTACGGGCTGCCCATCATGGTCACCCTGATGGTAAGCGCCCTCTCCTCCCCCAGGTCCAGGATGAGTGTGGGCCACTGGCCAGGCCCGTGCTTGGTGCCAAGCCCCGGCCTGGCTCCAAGGCAGCCCCAGACCAGTCTGTGCCTTGCGTTCCAGGTGGCCAAGTGGACAGGGGACTTCTTTAATAAGGGCATCTACGGCGTCCACGTGGACCTGCGTGGGGTCCCCCTGCTGGAGTGGGAGACGGAGGTGGAGATGGACAAGTAAGACTGGCGGCAAGGCCGAGGGGCTGCTGGCCTGGGATGGGGGTGCTCGCTCCAGGGGCGGGTGAGGGGGAGATCACCCATGTCCACGCGTGGGCCTCGTCATCATCAGGCCCAGCCTTGCCTGTCCGTTCCTCCTGCCTGTCCAGATCCACACTGCCTGGTCAGGGGTTCAGGTGGAGCCAGGGGGGAGCCCCTGCGTCCTGCCGCCCCACAGTCTGGAGGGGCCAGGCCTGGCCATTGTCAGCCTCTGGCACCCGGTGGGGCGGGCACCTGGACACTCTGATTTCCGGGGGTGCCAGTGCTTCTGAGTGGCAGCTCTGTTGGGGTGGGCAGTGCCAGACCCTCCGGCAGGTGCGCTGGGGGAGCAGTGTGCGCGCCCCAGATGGGGAAAGGCCCACATGCTGCAAAGCTGCTGCCCGTGCCAGGGGTGGGAGGGGGGGTGTGGGCTCGGGGACCCCCAGGATGGCGGGTGGCGCGGGAGGGATCAGCCCCGGGACCACCATGTCCGGGCACTGGGTCCATGGTGAGGCTGGACGTGTCCCCTGCCCCCAGACTGAGAGCCAGCGACATCATGGAGCCCAACCTGACCTACGTGTACCCACACACGCGCATCCAGTCACTGGTCAGCATCCTGCGCACCACCGTCCACCACGCCTTCCCCGTGGTCACCGAGAACCGCGGCAACGAGAAGGAGTTCATGAAGGGCAACCAGCTCATCAGCAACAACATCAGGTTCAAGGTAGAGGCGCAGCCCAAGGGCGCCCCGCGACTCCTTGCACCACCTCCGTCAGGTGGCATCGACCAGCCCGGATCTGTGTGTGGGTGGTGGGCGAGTGAGGCCTTGACTCAGGCGTCTAGCTCCAGGGCGTCTATCTTGCGGTCCCTGTCCTCAGGGCCTCTGGCATCCGGGAGGCTCCAGGACCGAAGTGTGAACTGGCACCGTCTCCGCTAAGGCAGGAACTTACTTACAGGAAGCGCAGGGCAGAGTGGAGCCGGGCTCCGTGTCACACGGCTGCCTCCCAGGCCCGCTCCGAGGGTCCCCCAGGGCTGTTCTGTCCCGGGGTTCCTCCAAGTCAAAGCCTGGCGGAGGCCGAGCCCCAGTACCCCCCGGGGTTGTGTACCCAACCTTGGCCCTGGCCAGGCCCACCGCGACGCCAGGCAGCAAAGGGGCCCGCCCGCCCGAGAGCCGGCCCTGGGCCAGCAGAACGGGGCTTGGGGTGCCCGGGGCTTCAGGCCCCCGACCTGCTGTGGGGTCCGTCGCCTCCCGCTCCAGCCCCCATCCCCTCCCCCCAGAAGTCCAGTATCCTGACGCGCGCCTGTGAGCAGCGCCGGCGGAGCCAGTCCATGAAGTCGTACCCGTCGAGCGAGCTGCGGAACGTGTGTGACGAGCACGTGCCGGCCGAGGGCCCATCCGAGAAGGAGGACCTCCTGCAGCAGATGCTGGAGCGCAGGTGCGCGGGGGCGGGGGGTGGCCGGAGGGAGGACCTCCCAGAGCAGATGCTGGAGCGCAGGTGCGTGCGGGCACCCGGCCGGCCCCGCCACACCGTTGCGGGTGCGTGAGAGGCTCGTCTGCTTTCTGTGTAACAGGTACACCCCCTACCCCAACCTGTACCCCGACCAGTCCCCGAGCGAAGACTGGACCATGGAGGAGCGCTTCCGCCCGCTCACCTTCCACGGCCTGGTCCTGCGCTCCCAGCTCGTCACTCTGCTCGTCCGCGGGGTCTGCTACTCTGAGAGCCAGTCAGTGAGTCGGGGACGGGGACGGGGACGGGGTGCAGACTTCCGTGCCTGCCACACGCGTGCGCGCACACATCCATGTTCACACACACATTCAACTCTCAGTTGTCCACACACATGCTCACACATGCTCATACATACACCCGTACACACACATGGTCACGCGGATACACACATGTCCACATACACACATGCAGATATATATGCTCATACACACGCTCACACTCACCTGTCCACACATTCTCTCACACGCGCGCAAACATGCTCACACACCTGTGCACATGCATGGTCACACAGATACACACATGCTCATGTATGCACACATACATACATGTTCACATGCACACGCATGGATACATACACATGCTTATACACACACAGATATACACGCGCACACACATGCACATGGACACACCGCGCCACATACGTGCACATGCTCTGAGTCTCAATCCTTGTGGGAAAGGAAGCCGTCCGGCGGGGTTGGCCCTCACTTCAGCCTCCCTGCGTGTTACAGGCGGATCTTCCCAGTGGCTCCTCCGCGTCCACTCCCCATTTGCCTTAGGCCCCTCCCCAGCCGCGCTCAGGGAGCCCGGGGCTCAGCCAGGCAGGATGGCCCAGTGGTTGGTCCGTGATGAGGGGCTGCTCAGGCCCAGTGCTGCTGGGGCCCCAGGAGTACCCAGCAGTGTTTGGGGGACCCAGTAGTGCTGGGGATTCAACTCGGGGCCTCGCCCCCAAAGGCGCTCGGTCTGAGTCTGCTCCCTCTTCTCTCGGCTTGGCTTGTAGTGGTGAGCAGGGCCCTGGGTCAAGCGGTCCCCTGTGCCCGGTGCCCGCTTGCTTCATGACTCGGCTTCAGGGAGAGGGAGTGACCCCGCACCACCCGGGACTCTGCTGGGCCTTGGGTTTGGGTGGTCTCTAGGGCCCGGTGCCTGGACGTGGACCACGTGGGAGGGACCGGGTGGGAGGGACCGGGTGACCAGGACTGGCAGCTGGGTTGCGTTTGCAGAGCGCCAGCCAGCCACGCCTGTCCTACGCCGAGATGGCCGAGGACTACCCGCGCTACCCCGACATCCACGACCTGGACCTCACGCTGCTCAACCCGCGGATGATCGTGGTGAGAAGGGCGCTCCTTGGGCCCGGGTGCCTGGCGGGGGGGGGGTAGGGGGGTGTGGGCAGGGGGGGGGAGTGCCGGGAGGGGAGGGCCTGGGTCAGGGGTCAGATGGGGGGGCGGGAATCTCGTGCACGTGGGGGGGGGGCGCAGGAGGGAGGGCGGGGCGGAGCCCCGGTCACCGTTGCCTCCCCACAGGACGTCACCCCGTACATGAACCCGTCGCCCTTCACCATTTCCCCTAACGCGCACGTGTCCCAGGTTTTCAACCTCTTCAGAACCATGGGCCTGCGGCACTTGCCCGTGGTGAACGCCGTGGGAGAGGTGAGCGGGCGCCCCGCGGGGAGGGTCCGAGGCCCCCCTTCCCATGCGCCACTGTGAACCTTCACCCCCAGGAACCCAAATGCCGCAGCTGCCGCACCGGGTCTCCTACCCGCAGTCTCCCACGCGGCCAGCAGGTGTCGCTGCGGGCACTCGCCACGGTGGCCGTGCTGGGCAGTTTAAGGCCACCTGGGGCCTAGAATTTACTCCCTTCCCAGCCATTTACGTCAGAAAGGGCATTTAAGCAAAAACCTTAAGAGTTTTAAAAGATATTAGGGGTTGGTGAGACAGTGCAGCAGGGAGCGTGCTTGCCGTGAACACCTGGGTTCAATCTCCAGCACCCCACTCGGTGTCCTGAACCCGCCAGGAGTGATCCCTGAGCACCACCAGGTGTGGCCAAAAAACCCACCTTCTCCCCCAAAAAAAGATACAGCATCTAAACTTTTATTTATTTACTATTTTTCTGTACACTTCCTTGGCTTCCTTGGCTCTCCTTAGGAGTGTTGTTACTTCGTTAGAGAAAAGAAACTATCACTTAGCCCAGGCCTGCGTCTGGTCCCCCCATCACGCAGTTCTGATTCTTCACAACTGAGCTGGTGGTCGAATAACTGACCACACTGCCCACCCGGGTCGGCACTCAGGGCCCAGCCACGCCAGCCCGCAGTGTACCTGCGGGGTCACAGGTGAAACTCAGGGAGCGTCCACACCTGCCCCTGCCCACCCCAGCTGTGGCACCGCCACGTGGTGGCCAAGTGTGGCCTTGGCCTTGGCGATGTCTGCAGCCTCTGGCCCCTTGCTCCCCCCTCCAACACCCCCTCTCCCCAGGCAGCATTTGGCGACTTGGAGGGTCCAGCCCTCAAGCCCTCCTGTCTCAGGTTCCCTGACCAGCTCCCCCATCTTTTGGGACTTTCCAGCGTCAGCAGCACAAGCTCAGGTGTGGTTGACCGGGGCTGTTCCGTTGTTGCTGCTTTCTCTTTGTATTGGTTTTGACTTCTGGGCTACACCTGGTGATGCTCAGGGGTCACTCCTGACTCTGCACTCAGGAATTACCCCCGGCGGGGCTCAGGGGGCCGTATGGACTCTCGGAGATGGAGCCCCGCTCAGCTGTGTGCACACAAGCTCCTTCGCCGCTGTGCTCTCTCCAACCCCGACTGTAACTCCTGTGAAGCCAGGAGTAACCCCAGCAATGCTCAGGGGTAACTCCTGGCTTTGCACTCAGGAATCACTCCTGGCAGTGCTCGGGGGACCATGTGGGATGCTGGAGGTGGGGGTGGGGCTAATGACCATGTGTCTTGTTCCTTTAAAACAAAATTGATTACAACAGTAATGAAGTAACATTTCCCAAGGGGCAGTGAGTCGGGCTGGGGCCTCCCACTGGCCTGTGCTCAGGAATCACTCTTACATACTCGGGATCCATACAAGATAGAATCCAGCTGGCCCCTTACCCGCTGTGCTCTCTCTGGCCCTCACTGGGTAATCCTGATTAGTCCGGGCCAGCCATTCCGTGCAGGGCTCAAGGATTAGCCATCAGGGCAGCTGTGCCCAGGCTTCAGGGCTCTGCCCAGTGCTGCTCAGGGCCAAGTGGTACCGGGCATCAAACCTGGCTCAGCGTTCTTGGTGCATGCATGAGCTGCTGGACTATCTCCCGGCCCCCATGTTATATATACTTACTTTCTTTTTATTTATTTATTTATTTTGCTTTCTGGGTCACACCCGGCGGTGCTCAGGGGTTACTCCTGGCTTTGCACTCAGGAATCACTCCTTGCGGTGCTCAGGGGACCATATGGAATGCTGGCAATCGAACCCGGGTCGGTCGCGTGCAAGGCAAACGCCCTACCCGCTGTGCTAGTGCTCCAGCCCTTATTTTCTTTTTTGGTTGGAGGCAAGCACCTTGCTCGCTCTACTCTCTGCCCCCCCTCCCTTTTTTGGTGGGGGCCATACCCAGCAATACTCAGGGCTTACCCCTGGCTCTGCACTCAGGAATCAATCCCAGTTGTGCTCGGGGAACCATATGGGGTGCCAGGAATGAACCTGGTCCGGCCGTCTGCAAGGCTCTCCCCGCCGTGCTCTCACCCCGGCCTGGCCGCTGAGTTACTCACCTTTCCTTCTCTTGTGCTGTGACAAAGATCACACTTTCCAGCCCCCACTGGGTGCTGAGAGCCAGTGCAAGGGTCAGACCTGCAGGGACACTCAGCACAGCACACACTTGCTTCCTTGCTGCCCACCAGCCCCCGGTTCCAAGAGTTTCAAGGAGTTTGTGCCAGAGCTGGGATTAAAGGCAGACCTGTGGGGCCGAGAGGTAGCCCAAGGGGGCCGGCGCTTGCCTTGGGGCTCCCCGAGTCAGGAGTGATTCGTGAGCACAGAGCCAGGAGTCAGCTTTGCACACCGCTGGGTAGCCCAGAACAACAAGAAAAAATGGGCCCAAATTCAATCAGCTTAATAGTGACTGAATAAATAGCCGTAGTCCTACATTAAAAAAAAGAGAGAGAGAAGAGAGAGGGGCTGGAGTGATAGTACAGCGGGTAGGGCGTTTGCCTTGTACAAGACTGACCCGGGTTCGATTCCCAGCATCCCATATGGTCCCCTGAGCACCGCCAGGAGTGATTCCTGAGTGCAGAGCCAGGAGGAACCCCTGTGCATCACTGGGTGTGACCCAAAAAGCAAAAAAAAAGAAAAGAGAAATGGGCCCCACGGTTCTGAGGCGGTACTGGTGGGCCTGCGGGCTCACGGACCAGCAGGTGTGCTGGGACAGAAGGTTCGAGCACATGTCCGGGCTCCCATCCCGCCTGTCCCTGCCCGCCCCTTTTGTCCCGCGTCCAGGCGCAGTCTGCTGGTCCCTAGGAGCAGGTTCCGCCGTGTCGCCCGCGCGGACTAAGGTGTCTCCCCCTCCCCGTCCTAGATCGTGGGCATCATCACCCGGCACAACCTCACCTACGAGTTCCTGCACGCGCGCCTGCGCCAGCACTACCAGACCATGTGACAGCGCCGCTCGCCCTACTGCCGGCCCGGGAGGCACCGCGGGGACACGGGGGCCCGGGGGCGGCTCTTGGCCCCTGGGAGTTGGCACTTGTCTGCCTGTCTCGGCACGAATCATCCCCCGCCTGCTCCCCACCCACCCAGCACCCGGTGTGGCGCCGGGGCCCCGGGGAGGCCACCTCTCCGAGGGCGACCCCAGAGCACACGCCCTCCCTCGCTTTGCTGCTTTCCTCGGGAACTCAGCTGTTGCCTTAAGCCCGTCCCAGATGGCACAGGATTCTCAGTGAGGGGCCGGGGGCGGTGCGCCAGGTGCTGTGCCCTCCTGGTACCCTGGTCTCTGCGGCGTGACCCTCCTGGGACGCCCCAACAGAAGCACACGGCGCCCCAGCCCACTCGCCACCTCTGGGCAGCGGCCCCGGGCCTCCTCCAGACTCCGTCACCCACCGTCCATTGCTGACCGTTCCCACCTTCCTGCTCTCTGCCTCCCTCCAGCCGCCCAACATGAGCTTTCTGCCTCCTCTGTGACCCCAATGAAGTGAGAGCAGAGAACCCCGAGATTCAGCCGCCTTGCTGGCCACTGGGCACTGAGCACTGCGGTGGGAGAGCCTCTGGAGGGGCAGGATGAGGCCTCGGGGGTCCAGGTGCTCACTTAGCCAGGGTCCTCCCTCGAGGGGTGGGCGAGGCTCCGGCCCAAGCTCTGAGCCCAGCCGCACCCCCTGGTGTCCATCAGGGGCCCGTAATCCCCCAGGCCACTCCGGCCTCACTGCCCAGGGACCCCACGGGAGCTGCTGAGCCCCAGACAGCGCCCCTGTCGGCTCCGAGCTCTGCCCGGCGGCCTCTGGAGGCCGAGTGCGCATGCTCTGGACTCTGGTGACAGTCCTTTGCACTTAACCCGGATGTCGCCCGAGTCTAGGGACGATTGTCTTCCCCACAACTGAGGGAATTCTGTCCACATGTCTTCTGACTCCCAGAAACACCCCCGCCCCCCACACCTCCAGCGTTTGTATCCCCTTGATTAGCGTCACTTTTGATTTTTTTTTTTGTTCTATTTTTGTTTGTTTGGGGGTCACTTTCGACAATGCTCAGGGGTTACTCCTGACTCTGCACTCAGGAATCACTCCTGGCAGTGCTCAGGGGGCCCTGGGGATGCCAGGGATTGAATCTGGGTGGGCCGCGTGCCAGGCAGGCGCCCTCCCTGCTGTCCTAGGGCTCTAGCCCCACTTTTGGTTTCTAAGAGGCTGTTTCACCTTCCTGAGATGCGCTGCCCCTGTGCCGGGGGGAGAAAGCACCTTCTAGTTGTGGGAATTGCAGGAGTGGAGGGGCCGGCCAGAGTCCAGCCACCGAGACTGGGACCCGTGGCAGAAGCAGGGCCCACCCCCTCCTCGGCCTGTCCTGGCACAGCCTGTGAGTCACCAGATACTTTGTCCCCGACCCTGTATCCCAGCGACTGCAAAACACTCCATCCTGCCCCCTCAGCTGCCTGGGGCCCAGCCCCTGCCCATGGACCCTTGCCCAGCCCCCCCGGAGAGGCGAGACCCTTTCCAGCTGCCCTTCCAGATAAGCCCAAAGACGCCCGCTTCTGCCCTTGTCATAACGTCCCGCCCTGTCCGCGGGCAGCTTCTCAGCATCTCCCCCTGCCCCGGACCCCCCTGGGGGGCTGGGGTTCGGCCATTCGGGGTTGCCTGTGTCTGGGGTCCCCCGCAAGGCGAGGCTGGCCTGGCTGTGGCCTGTGTGGTCTGGGGCTCTGTTTGCTCAAGACCCAGTTGACTGGACGGTTCTGCTCAGCCTGGTGGTCCTATGATGGTTCCCAGGCTTGTCCCTGCACAGTATTAGCCGCCCCCAGGCCCGGGCGGGGTGCCCCTGTCCCCTTTGCACTGTTTGTTCAGACGGTCACATTAGTGGACGCCGCTGTGTATATACATTGTATTTTTTTTTAATTTGTAAAATTCTATTTTTATTTGAACTTTTGGAACCTGGAAAAGTTCTAGTGGCCACCCTAACATGTTAGAATAAACGGTCGCCCCCGGCCCTCCCTGCGGCTGGGGTGTTCATCTTGGCTGCGGTTCTGCGATCCTTCACTGCTCACCTCCCCCGAATACATACACCAGACACGCCGCAACCCTCAACCCCTTCTATGCGCCCCCATTCCTGGGACCCCCACTTCAGCACTGAGAAATGTGTCTCAGGTCTTGGCGGGATCACAAGGCTGCCTCCTGCACCCCCTTCCGGTCGGCACCATCTGGCTCTGTTCTGCCCCCCCTGCACTAGCCTGGGGATTTCCCTGGGTGTTTCTGGCACTGTCATGTTTGGGGTCTGGCCCGCACAGAGACCCCCCCAACCCCCCAATTGCCTGCCAAGAAACTGCGTGACACTGCCACTGGTGCCCAGCTCAAGTTTGGCCAGAAGTGTGCCCCACACACGTGTGCAGATGGCTCAGTGGAGACCTCCCCTGGCTCCCTCACCCACCTCAAGTTCCCATGTCCAGGGGCCTTTACTGCCCCGGCTCCTTCTATATGAGAACCCGGGGTGCTGGAGTGGACAGACCTCCCAGCCCTACCCGCCTGCCCTTGGCTCCCTGGCACCCAGGGCCTCATGGTGGGAGGCAGCTGCAGCTCTCCCGGCCCTGGTGGCCGCCCACTTCCAGGGCCCCTGCACTGAAGAAGCAGCTCACCCCCCCGGGTTCGAACCCGAGAGCATCTGGGCCAGGCAGAGCTCGGAGAGGCCCCGTGCCACGGTGTGGGGGCGCATCTCACGGGGATACCTGATCTCTGTCACAGCCAAGACCAGGGGGCTGCGCGGGGCCAGCGGGAAGGAGCATGGGCCTTGAGGGGCGAGTGGAATGTTCGCGGGAGGCGGGCACTGCTGGTTCCAGGAGCCCCCATCCCGCACCCCGGGACACCGAGACCTGAGCGGGGACACAGGGCTTTCTGCGCATGCGTGACGGGACTCCATGGCCGCCTCCCGCACTGCTGTGGGCCAGCTCAGTGTCCTCGGGGGAAGTTGTGGTTGCTCATTTTATGAACCTGCTCCCTGACATAACTAAGCCCCCGAGATGGGACTCTGGCCTGTCAACAACTCTGAAAGCCTGTGTTGGATCCCTGGTGTCACACACACAAATGGAGGATGAAAATCATCTATTGTGTGCAAAGAAAATTAGCTGTGAAAGGGCTGAGGGGAAGAGGTTTGAGGGTCCCATCAGTTAGCATCCCCCCATGGGATGAAACTGAGATAGATGTCCACTGTCCCCTGAGGGCCAGAGCAACCAGACCTGGCCATGCAGCTGGCCCCTTCCACCACAGAAAGGAAGGAGGGAGGGATTCGTCGAGACCTATAGAACATCTGCTCTCCGGAATCACTCCTGGCGGTGCTTGGGGAACCATACGGGGTGCAGAGAATCAAACCCAGGTCAGCGTGCAGGGCAAACCTACCTACTGTGCTATCGCTCCTGTCCAGAGCATCTGAGCCCATGAGTGAGCCCATGTCTCCCCCAAATCCCCAGGGCCTCTGGCTGGTAACTGCATTCTCTTCTGGGGCGGGATGTGGACACGGGGAAACTGCATCTGGGGGCTCGGGGCGGGGGCGCCCAGAAACTCCACAGACACGTGCGTGTGTTTCCTGCTCAGCCTCGCTGTGCTACGCTTCCAAGTCAGTCACTGCTTCTGAAAGGGAGGGAGGGAGCGAGGGAGCGAGCAGTCTGGATTCTTTCCCGGCAGGAAGAAAGCAGCCGACCCCCAGCCTGTGCTTCTGGCCTTGGTGCTGAAGTTTATTCATTTCAAATGGTTTCGAGGAGGAGCGGGTGGTGAGGGGCTGCCCTAAAGCTGAGCGCGTGGGGAGGAGAGGCGGGGGCCACAGACACCCGCGTCATCTACATTTAGCACAGAATGGGGGGGGGCGGGGCGGCGACTGCAGTTGAGTCTGTGTCCCCGCCGCCGGCTTCGTGGCGAGGAGGCATCAGGAGGTTGGAGGAGCCCCGGGGGGCGCGGAGGGAGGGTCAGGCCCGAACACCTTTGCCTCCTGGGCCGTTATCTGCGATACTACAAGAGAACAGACAGGCAGGTTGGGTTGGCATGCTTCGGGGAGCCCCTTCCTCCCGGACGCCCCAGCCTGACCACCCCGTGTGGCCTGGAATGGGTCCCGGGTTGCCGACTAGAGCCGAGGTGGAGTGCCCCCAGCTGGCACAGTTGCCTCGCCCCCACCCCTACCCCCGACCCTTTGACACGGCTGAGGGTAATGCCACCGTCACTCCCGATACTAGGGAGAGAGGTGGTGGCCGCACAGTGACAGAAATTTCCAAGGGAGAAAATGTGTGTCTGTCTGCCCAGCCCGGGCTGAGTCTCCACAGAGCCCCAGCCGCCCTCCTGCCTGCCCGTCCCGCATCCATGCCCGCGGCCTCTTACCCGGAAGCTGTTGCAGCCCAGCCCGCTCTGGGCCCCGATCCTGTCCATCCTCCCGCCGAAGCAGCTGGACCTCCGCAGGCTCCGAGGGGCCGCGAGCAGCGCCCTCAGCTTGTTCTTCAGGAGGGCCGACCTCTCAGCGGTGGTGGCGGCAGCGGCAGCGGCGGTGTCCCAGGGGCCCCGTCCAAGGGCACCCCCATCCCTCGGAGCTGGGTTGGCCTCCCCGGGCCAGGATGGCAGTTCGGGCAGGGGGTTCAGCTCGGTGCCCGCCTCCTCCGTCTGCTCTGCCAGCACCTGTGGGGGCACATCTGCCTCCCCTAGGGAGAGCTTGTCCTCTAACTGGTCCAGCAAATTCTTTAGGGAAGGAGAGCAGAGAGAGAGCCCAGGGGAGGGGGCGGCTCTCACAGGCTGGCACTAGGTCCCCCAGCCCGCGAACCCCGACCGTGTCCCCTTGGCCGGCCCTACCTTGAAGTCCATCAGGTCCGCGTTGGACACGGCGCCATGCACGGGGTTGGCGGTGCCCGGCCCCAGGAGCTGGAGCGTCAGGAAGAGGAGGCAGCCGGCGGCGACGGTGTAGAAGGAGCCCATGGTGGCGTTGCTCACGGAGGGTCTGCTGGTCCTCTCCCGCCTCCCACGCTGGCCCGGGTCCGGCTCTGCCTCCCAGCTGCCCGGCACTTCCTTTTTATAGCCCCCCGAGCTCAAGAGGGCGAAACCCTCCCCATTCTGCCACTTGCAGCGATAAAGCGGCCGAGTGAGGAGGCAGCAAAAGATGTCCTTTTAAAGTTATCAGTCCCCCGAGCTGGCCACGGCCCTTCCGCCGTGGGCAGCCCCAGCCACCCGGACCCTCGCCCAAGAGCCACATTCTTGTTGATTTGCCTCAAGAGGCTTCCACTTGAAAGGTGTGAGCGAGCGGAGAAGCGTCCGTCCTGCGTTATCTGCGCGTGCTGCGGCGGGCTCCTCGGCAGCGCACCCCGGCGGGGAAGGGAGGCATGGGGGAGGCTTGGCAGGAGCCCAGCTCCCCCTCCATCTGCACCCCCCCGCCCCCGGTTCTCCCCAGTTGGTTCTCGGGCTCAGCTGGTGTGGGCTCCAAATAAGGGAGGAGAAGGAAGTGACAGAGGCAGCTCCGACAAATTAGTCCAGATGCTCTTACGGGCTTTGCACCCTGCGGCCCCGCTCAGGGACGCGGGTGCGCCCCCCCCCCCCCCCCGCCCTCCCGGGACTCAGGTGCAGAGCCAGGGAACAGAACCAGCTGGAACCCAGGGTGGTGGAGGCCCCAGGGGTTCAACTCCTATACACACGAAGACAGACAGACACACACACACACACACATGCGCGCACACACAGGCACACACGCTGCCCTCAGGGATGGAGCTCAGTCGAGAAAATGCCTTGCATGGATGAAGCCTGGGTTCAATCCCCAGCAGCCCAGAGGTAAAGCGTGGGGACACACAGTCGCTCCTCTGCCAAGCTCCTCCTTCCGGCCCCCGCCACTCAGGGCAGGAAGTGGGTGTCTCTGCTCCCCACCTAGCTGCTGAGAGAAGCCACACCTGGGTCAGGCCCTTCGATGCCCCTTTCTCCTGGGGAAAGGCTGATGATGGGGTGGAAGCCCGAGTCTCAGTTTCCCCCGCCCCTTCCGTGTCCTCTATGCCAGGCAGGGTGCCCCACCCCGTGCCTCGATTCCCCCGACCCCCGAGAGACAGCAGAGGCACAGGCTGTGTGGGGGCGATAACCCTGAAGGTTAGGCAGCCGCTGAGCAGCGGGTGTTTTGGGGGGCGCTCATCGCTCGCGTGGGTGGAGGGAACTGTGGGCATCTGCCCTGCCACCTCCCAGGGGGCTCCAAGGAGCAGAGAACCACGGTAAAGGCGGGGTGCCTGGGTGGCGCCCTCCTCATTGCCCTGCACTCCGCCGCAGGGATTGAATCTGGGTCAGTTGCGTGCAAGGCAAACACCCTCTCCACTGTACTATATCACTCCTTACCGCCCCCAATGTTTTTTTTTTTAAAGAAATGAGGGTGTTGGCAGGGTCAGTCCCCCTCTGAAAACTGCAAGAGAGGTCGTGCTTCTCCCTGTCTCTGGGCCCGTCTGTACTCCTTGGGGCTCTGTAGAACCAGACATGCACCCACCTCTGAATTATTAGGCTGACCCCACTTTCTCTGCATCTGTGTCCCCTTACCCGGGGACCACATCTGGCAGCCTGGGTTCATGGGGTGGTGGGGGGTGGGACCCAGCATCTCATGCACTGGGCATGTGTGTCACCAATTTGAGTTGTCCCCCAGGCCTTCCTCCTCCTCCTCCTCCTCCTCCTCCCCCTCCTCCTTCTTCTTCCTTCTTTTTTCTTCTTCTTCTTCTTCTTCTTCTTCTTCTTCTTCTTCTTCTTCTTCTTCTTCTTCTCCTTCTTCTCCTTCTCCTTCTCCTTCTCCTTCTCCTTCTCCTTCTCCTTCTCCTTCTCCTTCTCCTTCTCCTTCTCCTTCTCCTTCTCCTTCTCCTTCTCCTTCTTCTTCTTCTTCTTCTTCTTCTTCTTCTTCTTCTTCTCCTTCTTCTCCTTCTCCTTCTCCTTCTCCTTCTCCTTCTCCTTCTCCTTCTCCTTCTCCTTCTCCTTCTCCTTCTCCTTCTCCTTCTTCTTCTTCTTCTTCTTCTTCTTCTTCTTCTTCTTCTTCTTCTTCTCCTTCTTCTCCTTCTCCTTCTCCTTCTCCTTCTCCTTCTCCTTCTCCTTCTTCTTCTTCTTCTTCTTCTTCTTCTTCTTCTTCTTCTTCTTCTTCTTCTCCTTCTTCTTCTTCTCTTTTTGTTTCATACAATTGTTCACAGTGATTTATTACACTCAATATTCCAACACCAACCCCACCACCACCATTAACACCTTCCCACCACCATTATTTCCTATTTTTCCAACCACCACCCAGGCCTGCCTCAATAGTAGCCCCAAAATGATTTATTTTGAATTGCTTTGAATTAATTCTCTCAAAATGATCAAAAAAGATTTCCTTAAAAGAAAGTGTGAGTGTGTGAAGATTGTTGTATCTCACCCTGGAGCCATTAAGCCCTTGTATAAGAGATTACTAACATGTTGTTGCAGGTTGAACCTTGTGTGATAATATTTTCTTAATTGCCGCCACCTCTTCTTACGAAGGACTCACCGCCTGGTTGGGTTTGGTGCCTTCTCTGCCCAGAGTTTCTTCTGACATAAAGATTCTCCCACAGTCGGGCCCAGGCCTGGCAGGACTTTAGTCTGCCTCGGGGTACGGCTGTTCCCGTCAGGTACTTGGATGCGGGATTCCATCCTGTCTCCTGTTTCTCCCTGGTCAAACCACCGGCCCTCTCTCAACTGACACCACCCAGACTGTGTACCCCTCCTTAGGCCCCCCAATTCCTGTATTCTCGGCAGTGCTACCTAATCCTTCAGTGCTAGGCAAACCATGGGCTTCTGTGAACCCAGGGACTGTCTCAGCATCTCCCTCTGCCCCCTAAGCGTGCGTGGGTATGTGGGGATTATGGGCACAGGCAATCAGGAAGGGGTCCAGGAGCACAGCAAGGCCCCTAAGCACCCCCAGGTGTAGCCCTCCGGGACTGAGCCCCACTCCAGTCCTACCCAGTGCCGGCAGCCATGGGCTCTCAGGGGAATGTTAATAGTTCCCCCTGCAGAGCCAGGATCTTTTTGTTCGTGGCCAGTGCCTAGGTGTTGCTCTGCACTCAAGGATCACTCCTAGTGGTGCTCAGGGGACCTGATGGGATGTCGGGGATTAAACCTGGATCAGCTGCTTGCAGGACCAGCTCTGTACCCGGAGTGCTAGCACTTACTTTTAAGCCTGAAAAGTAAAGTACCTGCAGTGAGTTGAGTCCTGGGTCACCTGGACAGAGGCAGGGTGAAGGGACAGATACGGGATGCAAGGTCGGATATGGGGTGCAGGGGCAGATACGAGGTGTGGGGATATATTCGGGGTGCAGGGAGTGGTTCTCGAGGAGGCCTCAGCTTTGTCGCATGTAAACCAAAGATGATTCTCACCCCAGGGTCCCGCTCTCTGCCTTTGGAGCTCTGGATCATTCAGGGGGAGTAAGAGGGGAAATGTTGAGGGGCTCTGCTCCCAGGTGGGGTACCCAGATAGCCTCTGGATTCACCCTAAGGCTCTAGGACCCCACGGATAAGAGAAGCAGGAGTTGGGGAAAAGTTTTCCCAAAGCACTTCATGTTGAAACTTTTTTCCTTTTTTTTTTTTTTTTTTTGCTTTTTGGGTCACACCCGGCAATGCATAGGGGTTACTCCTGGCTCTGTGCTCAGGAATTACCCCTGGTGGTGCTCAGGGGACCATATGGGATGCTGGGAATCGAACCCGGGTTGGCTGCGTGCAAGGCAAACACCCTACCCGCTGTGCCCCATGTTGAAAGTTTTTTCCTTTTTTTTTTTTTCTTTTTGCGTTTTAGGTCACACCCACCCGGCACTGCTCAGGGGTTACTCCTGGCTTTGCACTCAGGAATCAGTCCTGGCGGTGCTTGGGGGACCATATGGGATGCTGGTAATCGAACCCGGGTCGGCTGCGTGCAAGGCAAACTCCCTACCCGCTGTACTATTGCTCCAGCCCCATGTTGAAACTTTTTAATGAGCGCGAAGAAACAATAGGGGAAAAAAGAAAAGGAAAAAACAAATACAGTGGCACAGGATGTCAGCAAAGCATTAAAAAAGTATGAGAACGGAAGTGAGAAAACTGCCACCAAAAGGGACAGAGGTGGGCTGGGGCGATAGCACAGCAGGGAGGAGATTTGCCTTGCACGAGGCTGACCCAGGTTCGATTCCCAGCATCCCATATGGTCTCCCAAGCACCGCCAGGAGTAATTTCTGAGTGTGTGAGCCAGAAAAGCGAAACTTTTTTTAAAAACTTTTTTGGGTCACACCCCGGGATGCACAGGGGTTACCCCTGGCTTTGCACTCGGGAATTACTCCTGGCGGTACTCAGAGGACAATATGGGATACTGGGGATCAAACCGGGGTTGGCCACATGCAACCCTACCCACTGTACTATCGCTCTAACCTCAGTAGGCGAAACTCTAAATTCGATAGAAATTCAGAGCAGCAGAAGAACAGCCACCAAGAAAGACTAATTAGCTCAATATGAGATTCAGGAAACTTCTAGAAATCACTAGAAGGTGGGGAAAAGTCTGCAAAGAAATTAACAGCACACTAGAGAAGCCTAGGTTAAGAGAAACAAAATCCTGAGTCCCTGAAGAGTGAGGAGGGCACTTACCTTGCACGTGGCCAACCTGGGTTTGGCCTCCAGCATCCCATTTGGTACCTCAAGTGCCATGAGGAGTGATTCCTGAGTGCAGAGGCAGGAATAAGCCCTGAGCATCACCGGGTGTGGCTCAAAAAACAAAAAGAAGAAGAGATAGGAGGTGGAAAAGGAGAAGAATCTGGTTATTCTTAGCTCACTAAGGAATCTGATATGTCTTCTATAACAAATTAATGTATCGCCCATATTGAATGTTCTTTGTCTAGTCTGGTGATTTTTTTTACATATATAGAGATTTTTTATTACTATAATCTTTTCCTTATTAGTGCAGATACTTAAACATCATCTATAATTTATTTGCTAACATTAAGTCAATATTTTTATCTTAAAAAATAAATTCCTTTTATGATAAAACAATTTTTATTCTTTTTAATTTTAGTCACCATGGTTTACAGTACTTTTATTTGGGGGGGGAGGCACACCCGGTGGTTCCCGGGGCTTACTCTTGTCTGCACACAGGGATCACTCCTGGTGGTGCTTGGGGAACTATATGGGATGCTGGAAGTTGAACCTGGGTCAGCCAGGTTGAACCCAGTTGACCCAGTTGAACCTGGGTCAGCAAGACAAGCACCCTCTCCACTGTCCTATCGTTCTGGCCCCTGACAACACAGTTAATTGCAGGGCTTCTTGCATAAATCATTCCAGCCCCGACCTCCCACCGGAGTGTCAAGAGTGTCTGTTTTGGGCCGGAGCGATAGCATAGCGGGTAGGGCATTTGCCTTGCACGCGGCCGACCTGGGTTCGATTCCCAGCATCCCATATGGTCCCCCAAACACCGCCAGGAGTAATTCCTTAGTGCAGGAATAACCCCCGAGCATTGCTAGGTGTGACCCAAAAAGCAGAAAAAACAAGTGTCCGTTTCCCCCGCCACTGCCTCAATGCCCCATGCTCCCCTCCCCCCACCCCATGGTAGGCTTCCGACTGAAGATCAGTTCTTAGTTTCCGTTCCATTTGGGCACTGGTTTGTTAGCTTGGGGCCACACCCGGTGATACTCAGTGGTAACTGCTGGCTCTATGCTTGAGAATCACAGGTTGGGGATTGGGGATCAAACCCCAATCATTTGCAAGCAAGGCAAACGCCCTCCCGACTATGCTCTCTCTCCAGCCCCTCATTTGGGCATGTTGTCCCCCCACTATGTGTCTTTATATCTCGCAGATGAGAGATCCTGCGGAATCTGTCCCTTTTTTACTGGCTTCACTCAGTGTGGTGTTCTCCAAATCCACGCAGGTAGCAGCAAATGGCTGATTTCAATTCCACTGAAATCAAGATGACTTCATCTTTTCTTCCAGTCGGTAATATCTGACTATATATAAATATGTCAGATATATATATATCAGAACATCTGGACAAACTTGCAGGCTATCGAATATAGCCTGCCCACAGGGCAGAGTCTGGCAAACTCCCCGTGGCGTACCAAATATGCCAAATACCAGTAACAATGATGAGTCTCATTCTCCTAAAGAGCCGTGAATATAATCTCAGGGCTAGGAGGAAAGAGACGTTACTGGGGCCTGCTCGAGGCAATCGACGATTAACAGGATGATGAATGAATGAATAAATATGTACAATAGTTCGGGGTTTTTTGTTTATCCAGTCATCTCTTCTTGGACACTTGGGTCGCTTCCAGATTTTGGCCACTGTGAATAGTGCTTCAACGAACATAGGAATGCAAGCGTATTTTCTGAATAGACACTTTCATGTCTTTATAGGTCTATTCAGATTTTTATTGAAATTTTAATTCTCTACTACTTCTCAGTCTTTTTTTTTTCATCACACCTGGCGATGCACAGGGGTTACTCCTGGCTCATGCACTCAGGTATTACTCCTGGCGGTGCTCGGGGGACTATATGGGATGCTAGGAATCGAACCCGGGTCAGCCACGTGCAACGCAAACGCCTTCCCTGCTGTGCTATTGCTCCAGCCCCCCCTCAGGTTTTTTTTCTGTTTTTGGGCCATACCTGGCAGTGCTTAGGAGTTACTCCTGTCTCTGCACTCAGGAATTACTCATGGCAATGCTCTGGGACCCTATGGGGTGCCGGGGATTGAGCTCAGGTTGGTTGTGTGCAAGGCAAACGCCCCGCTGGCTGTACTATCGCTCCTACTAAATTGTATATTTGTAAGATTTATCTATTTTATAGACATTTAAAAGTATTAACATGAGTTATTCAAGCTATTTTTTAAATTTCTATTCCTGTATAAATTTTAAACGTGCTGGTGCGATAGTACATCAGGTAGGACATTTGTTTAAAAGGAGCCGGCTGACCCAGGTTTGATCCTTGGTACCCCAGAGTGATCCCTGAGTGCAGAACCAGGAGTAAGCCCCGAGGACCCCCAGGTGAGGCCCCCAAACAAAATCAAACAGTAGAGAAAAAAGCCTGCCCAAGGAGAGGCACACCCCATCAAGCCCCATGCAGCTGGGTGCACGCTTGGAGTCTGACTGACTCCAGGTCACCTCGTCCCCTGCTGTGGAATAAGAGGCAGAGAGAAAGTGACCAGGCAGGAACCTCAGGAAAGGCTCCCGAGAAAGGCCAGGCCTCTTATTAGACACCCCCAAACCAGTGGTCTTAAGGAATAAAATGCTGTAAACTCAGGTCAAAGGCTTCTCTCTGCAGGTCTGGAGAGATAGCACAGCGGGTAGGGCGTTTGCCTTGCACGCGGCCGACCTGGGTTCGATTCCCAGCATCCCATATGGTCCCCTGAGCACCGCCAGGAGTAACTCCTGAGTGCAGAGCCGGGAGTATCCCCTGTGCATCGCCGGGTGTGACTCCCCCCCCCAAAAAAGGCTTCTCTCTGGGTGAGACCAGGATTGAAGGCTGGAAGCTGAGATTTGGGGCAGGATGGGGAGTGTACCCCAATCAGAAATGCAAATGAGTCTCTCCTCTCTCTCTCTCTCACACACACATACACACATATACACACACACAGTCCAACACCCTACCCCAAACTCTGAGATATTAGCTTAGACCTTCTGGAAGCACCTCTCAGCAGAAATGGTTCTTCTACTAGAAAGTGGGCAGAGGGGCACTGGTCAGGTGTATAGTGACCCCACGTGGCTTGAACACAGCTCTCTGCCCAGCCCTGGGGAGAAAGTATGGGACTTTGAAGAGTAGGTGTGAAACAGTAGGCTGAGTTCTGGGCTTGTGGACATTTCAGAGCCGGGGACCCTTCTGGAGCCCCCAACCCTACTTGACCCACCCTTATAGCCTCGCCCATCCTCCTCCCAGCTCCACATTTGAGACTTTGGAATATTCCATCTCCCTGGGCCTCGGGTCAGCCGTGTGTCAACTGGGGATGACTAGCCTGGGCGGGGGGGGGGGGGTCTGACCCGCTGCCCGTGAAGCTCTGGACAGTTCAGGGGAGACCAGAGGGAGAGAGGAGAAGAGGGGGTGTCCCTGGCTGTGAGTGGTATTCAGAAATCCCACTGAGTTGCTTCGGGCCTTCCCGGAAACCCCATGGATTAGCAATTGTGTGGAAACGGCGATGATTGTGAATGTGAGGAGATATAACAGTCGCAAAACCAAAAGCATGTCTAATGCTGATTTTATTTGTGCTCTGAGCTCAGAATCATCTTATATAAAACAATCACAGGTAAAAATAAAAGTATGAATAAATAGAAATCCTCCTGAGAGAAGCAGGGAGACCATGAGGCACCAGCACCGCCGCGGGCAGCCACGAGTGTCCTAGGACCTCCACTCTGTGGAGAAAGTGGGGGTGACAACGTTAGTCCGGAGACCTAAGTGGGGACAGAGCCCCCTGACACCCTCCTGCCTCGCCCCCCATCCTCCTCCCAGCTCCACATTTGAGACTTTGGAATATTCCATCTCCCTGGGCCTCGGGTCAGCCGTGTGTCAACTGGGGATGACTAGCCTGGGCGGGGGGGGGGGTCTGACCCGCTGCCCGTGAAGCTCTGGACAGTTCAGGGGAGACCAGAGGGAGAGAGGAGAAGAGGGGGTGTCCCTGGCTGTGAGTGGTATTCAGAAATCCCAAGTTCCCCGAGAGAGAGGTCCTGACAGCTGTCCACATGGCCTTTCCCCAGGAGGGGCGTCCCCGGGGACAGTGGCCCTGAGGGGAGGGGCCGGGGAAGGTGCTCACGCTTGCAGCCCAGGCTGGTGTTGGATCCGATCCGATCCATCCTCCGTCCGAAGCAGTCCGTGCGCCTGGTGCTCATCTCCTGGCGGGTCTGCACGGCCTGCGGTCTGGTCACGGGGTGGGCGCCCAGGCCTGTGCGCTGGGCCTCTATGGGGGCCATCTCCTGGCGGGTCATCACGGCCTGCGGTCTGGTCACGGGGTGGGCCACCATGCCTGTGCGCTGGGCCTCTATGGGGGCCATCTCCTGGCGGATCATCACGGCCTGTGGTCTGGTCACGGGGTGGGCGACCATGCCTGTGTGATGGGCCTCCATGGGGGCCAAGTCATACTTCTCCAGCGGCTTCATTTTCTGCAGGAACCGCATCATTTCCTGCAATGGGGTGGGTGGGTTCTCAGGGGAACGCCCAGCCTGGGGTTCCCTGGGGTCCTGCAACCCCCCATCTCCCGCTCCCTGCAGGGACAACCCAGGAGAGCTGCCTGCTTCTGCAGTGCCCACCTGATAGCGCTTGTCCTCCGGGGACAGCTCAGTGTCCGGCATGGGGTGACACCAGCCTCCCAGCGGCGACAGGAACAGGAACAGAAGGAGCAGGAGCGTCCGAGGCAGCGCGGTCGGGCTGTCCATGGCACTGGAGGGGCGGGTGAAGGTCACTGCCGTTGTGCGTCTCTGTCCCGTCGGACCACGGCCACTCGAGGACTTGCTTCTGGACCCGTGGGCTCCCCTGGCCCTTTATGCGGAGCCGCTGGACCGCCTGAGGGGTTATCTCTGATTTATCTGCCGCATTCCGGCCCGCTGAGCTCAGGGCGGGGTGGGGGGGGGGGTGGGGGGGGGGTGGGGGAGGGAATGCGGCCCTCCTGGCGGCCGGGTGGAGGCTGCGGAGAGCATAAAGCCTTGTATAGAAACGAACCCGTGGGGCGGGACATCCCTCCACCGGCCCCCCGGCTCCCGCTTCCTCTGTTCCCGGCACAATCCAGGGGGCCTTCTCGGGGAGCTTTCCCTTCCCTCCCCACCCCCACCCCCAACCGTTCTTGGAGAGGCTAGGACGACTCCTGCATTTTGTGTCAAGTGCAGGACGCGCTGGTGACTCAGCTCAGCTCCAGCAGCGAACACCCGACTCCCTCGCTCCCTCTCTCTCCGTTCCTCCCCCGCCGGCCAGTGGCTGGGTCCTTGCTGGAGTGCGCGCAGCCCCGGCCCCTGCCTGACCGCTGTCCATGGTTCTGACAGTGCCCAACAAATTCTCCATCAGCCTTGGGTCCCCCTGCACTCTGGTCCCTGCAGAAAGACCAGCATGAGTGAGCCAGGAAAGGGCCCCCCCAGGCCTCCTCCACCCCCCCTTCTCAGAGGCTCCTGCCCCCATGTCACCTGACGGGAGGCTGGGAATGACAAGGAACTTCTGGAATGCCCACCCCTCTTCCCTCCCTTACAGGGTAGAACTGATCTAGCTGGAATTTCGAGAGGCAAGTCCCAGAGATGAAGTCATAGGGGAATGTCTTCTGTCATTCTCTCCCTTAGGAAGTCAACAAGTGATGGGAAACAGATGGGGGTGTGTGTGTGGGGGGGTAAGATGCTGATCTCGTCAGAGGGAGGGAGAAGAGTGATCGCAATCCCTGACCTCCCTCTACCCACCACCCCTCACGGCAAACACGGCCCCTAAGAAAAATGATGCTGGAGAGAGGCACAGCCCCACCCCTGCTGAAACATGTTTTACCGTATTCCCATCTCTTCCAGGTACATTGTGCTAGTAAGCGCTGACACTACAGGTGGCCCAGGAGGGGACATGTGTCCCAGAGGAGGAGAAAGGGGCACCAGACGCTGACACTGTGTTTCAGAAATCACATTGAGGGGACTAGAGAGTACAGGGGTAGGGTGCTTGCCTTGCACATGGCCGACCTGGGTTCAATCCCCGGCCTCCTATGGGGTCCCCTGAGCCCACCCCTGAGCACAGAGCCAGGAGTGGGTTCTGAGCACCCAAAATAAAAGATAACACTGAGGCTGGGGGACACCAACGCTTGCTTGCCCGAGGTCCTGCAGCTGTCCTTGGCTTGATCCTGGCACAACATGTGGTCCCCTGAGCAGCACCATGGCTCACTTTTGAGCAGAGAACCAGGGATTCCCCACCCCGCCTCGAACACTGCCAGGCATGGCCCCTTGAAAAACATAGCATGGGGGACTGGAGAGGCGGGACAGGGGTTGAGGCGCTTGCCTGGCACACAGCCCACCTCTGTCTGATCCCAGCATGCGTGGTCCCCTGAACAACACCAGGAGTGACCCTCAGGAACAGAGGCAAGGGACCGGAGTGATAGGACAGCAGGGAGGGTGTTTGCCTTGCACGCTGCTGACCCAGATTCAGTTCCCGCCATCCCATATGGTCCCCCCAGCACCACCAGGAGTAATTCCTGAGTGCAGAGCCAGGAGTGACCCTGGACGCCAGGTATAGCACCCCTCCCCACACCAAAGAAAGAACAAAGACAAGAGTGGCCCCCAGTAACACTGGGTGTGCCCCTTAAAAATGGCAGTGGGCCAGGGAAATGATTCAAAGAACTGAGCACGTGCTTTGTATGTAGGAGCCCCGGGTGGAACCCCCAACACTTCATGGTTCCTGAGCATCACCAGGTGTGGCCCCCAAATAAAAGTAGCACTGTGTCAGGAAAATGGCCAAAGAGCTGGAGTTCATTTTGTACTTTTAGGGATTTCTGGGTTTGGTCCCTGACACCACACAGTTCAGGGACCGTGTTTCCTGAGCACTGTCTGATGTGGCCCAAAAGTATCCTTTAAAGTGAGTGGGAAGGGGCTGGAGTGATAATCCAGTGGGGAGGGCATTTGCTTGCATGCAACTGACCCAGGTTCAATCCCCAACATCCCCTGTGGTCCCCCGAGGACCGCCAGGAGTAATTCCTGAATGCAGAGCTAGGAGTAAGCCCTGAGCATCGCCGGGTGTGACCCAAAAAGCAAAAAATTTAAAAAAATAAATAAATAATAAAATTTAAAAGTGAGTGGGGGAAGTGTTAACGCAATACCAACTTCAGGTGCCAAATGAGAAAACACTATGCTTGATCCTTCTCTCTCAGAAGGCTGAAGAGTTGGCCAACTATCTCACGGTCACACGTTAGGCTGGCAGGAAAGCCTCGACCCCAGCTCAGAGAAGTCAGATTCTGGACCTCACGGCCCTCATCATCCCCCCGGGGATTGCACCTTGCATCGGATTTCTGTTAATGAGAAATGAATAGTCTCTGTGGAGGAGAGCAGGGAGCTGGCGGGTTGGGGGCGGGAGGCTGAGCGGACTAAGCGCAGTGGAGATGGGGGCAGGGCTTGGAAGATGCTGGCCGGGGCAGGTCAGGGACGGTGAGAAGACTTGAGGGACACACAGGAAGATCCAAGAGTCAGCATCAGCAGCATCTGTGAGACGTTTAATCCAGACACCCAGACACGCTGAGCGGGAGAGTGCCGCTGCCCCAGCTGCTGGCGTGGAGGGGGGAGGGGAGAGAGGGAGGAACCCCCACCATGCCTGCCAGGGCCACTCTGAGCCCAAACCCTGCCAGGCCCTTCTGAGGCGTGGGCTCTGTCCCTGCGAGGACATAGGGGGATATAGCAACTGGAGGGCCCAGGGTCTAAGGGAGCACGAACTAGAGTTGCTCTTCACCAACGGAGAGTTTCTCCTGGGGACAGTCCTGGCACAGGAAGCTGCACCTCTCAGAGCAGGAGGGAGGGGTGTGGGGAGGGGGCAGAAGTGGAAACGGGAATTGTGAGAAGAGAAGGGAGCCTGGGAGACAGAGGGGACTGAGGGGGGCATAGGGGACGGAGGGAGGCAGTGACCATTGAATACCGGCTGTGGCTAGTTTGGGGCAGGCACATTTCGCGGTGCTCAGGGCACATTCCTGGTTCTGCACTCAGGGTTCCCTCCTGGCCAGCTCAGGGGACCCTATGGGATGGCGGGTATCCAGTCTGGGTCAGCCGTGAGCAAGGCCAGTGCCCTCCCCGCTGTCCTGTGCCCCCACCCCGCATTACTTAGTCATATCCCCCAAAGATGCCGCGTCCTCGCTGCCCGAGGGTCGCTCCTGTGGGAGTGAAGGAGTGGCAGCTGCATTCATGGACAGCTTGGGAGGGAGGAGACTACCGGGCTCTGGGGACACTGTGCTGGGCTCTGGGGACACTGTGTATGTGTGTGCAGGGCCCCTTGTGGCCCCCTGCCATGAAGGGGTCTGAAACAGGCTCAGACCCTCATCACAGGTGGGAATTAGTCTGAGCCTTCCCCTCCCCCCCTGGTGGGGTTCCCGTGTCCAGTGTCCAGCTCTGCTGCCCGAGGGTCACACGCCTGAGCTGCCGTGGCCGCCCCTGTGCCGAGCGAGGTGCCCGCATGTCTTCACTGCGGTACCTCCTAGGGGCCTTCCTGGTGGTCCACACGCCCCTGCTGGTGTCAGAAGTCACACTCGAATGGCCAGGAGTCCTGGACAGTAAACCTGTGGGCAGCTGACTCGGTTCACGAGGTTGCCCTAGGGGTCCAAGTCACACCCTTGCTTTTCTGTTATCGTCATTGTTTGGGGGTCACACCCGGCAGTGCAGGTTCTTACTCTAGACGCTGTGCTCCGGAATCACTCCTAGCAGGGCTCAGGGGACCCCTTGGGGTGCCGGGGACCGAACCCAGGTCAGTTGCATGCAAGGCAAACGCCCTCTCCATTGTGCTATCTCTCCAGCCCCTGACATTTAAGACCTTGAGCCACACACTCTCACCCCTAATCTGTTTTTTTTTCAATTTTTATTAGTGAGACACCATGAGGTACAGTTGTAGACTTACAAATTTTGTGCTTGGGTTTCAATTATACAATGATCAAATACCCATCCCTCCACCAGTGCCCATTTCCCACCACCATGGATCCTGGTATCCCTCCCACCCCCCATCCCTCCCATCCCACCCTTCCTCTGTGGCAGGGCATTCCCTTTTGTTCTCGCTCTCTCCTGTTGGGTGTTGTGGTTTGCAAAAAAGGCAATGGGTGACAATCATGTTTGGTCTATAGTCTCCTTTCAGCATGCTTCTCCCGTCCTGGGAGGATCCTCCCAACACCCTTTATTTGGTGCTAATCTGTGTTGTTTTAAGACACAGTTTGTTGTCACTTGTTTTAGCCACAATGGGAGACTCATGGTCTGTGAGGGGCCTGGGGCCAGCGCCAGGAAACCCTCAGCAGAGCCTAGAGTTGCTTCTCAGGACGACCCTGAACACGAGGTACCAGCCACAGGGCAAGAAGGAAGCACCTAGATTCCCTCTGCACTCTTCCTCCATCTACTCTGGGGTCCTGTGAACTGGAGGCCTGACCCTGAAGCCAGCCTCGGCTCAGTGCCACATGGTCTGTGACCTCAGCCAGGTTACTTCACCTCCACCTGGGTTTCCTCCTGTCGGCCCCGGGGCTGGCTTCAAGTAACCAAGAGATTCGGGTTCCACTAACCGGGAAAGTCCAGTTCCTCTGCCACTGACCGCCGTACCGGGTCCATCCACTGATGGAGACAAGAGGACAGAGAGAAGGTCCTCTCACCTCCCCTCTGCACTCACACGCAGCTCTCAGGCCTGACAGCGCACCCATGCCCTCCTTGTGAGTCTCCCGGCCTCACCTGGGCTTCACGAGCAGAGGGCA